CAGAGGGACCAAAGGCACTGCAGACATGAGCCACTCTGCTGATCATCAACCGCAGCGAGATGAGAGGCGAAGCACGTCCCCTTCCCCTCCCTCACCACCCCCCACCAGATAAAAAGTCCAGCCTCTTAATGGGTCGGCACCAAACAAGGGCCCCGCGTCCAACTATTCTGACTTTGTTTGCAGCAGTATCGTTACTGCATTTCAAAGCAACCCGGTCTCTAAAGGGACACGCTACACTGACTCTACGGGGGTGCACACTCCATTGGCTAAAATAGGCCAGAGCCTGAAAGTAAACCAGCTTACAAAACATGTACTTAAAATATTTAGAGGTAGCAATCTATATAGCTGGTGTGTTTGACTCAAGGACCCTGAAAGGCCCTCAGGGAACTGTAACTAATCTCTCGAATATGAATATTCATGATTTCCATTTCAAAAAGTGGGAAATTTACACCACATAACCGTGATCTGACAAAATCAGCAAGAAATTTAAAAAATGCTCTGTGGCCGACGCCGAGTACCCATTGGGCCAATAAGGGAAAAATTTACCTTATAGAGATGAAAATTGCGATATTCACGATGAATAAGTGATGTTCACTCCAACAGCGGACTTTAAATCATCGCCCCACTGCATCCCCCCGACACTCTAAATGGGCTGTGCTTTCACTGTTAATGGCTCTTTTTGTGTTTACATTAGAATATCTTAAAACACATCTTTTTTGCCTTCAAGGCACCATGGTTCGCAATTATTAGGTGCCATGACTCAGCAGCAACACCCCTAAAGATAATTAATTCCAAAAGGGTATTTTCATTTTTTATGTGGCAAACCAGTCTTTGTGGAGGGAACCGTATTATTCACCTCTGGTGGAAAAATAAATCATTTTCAAACGTTCCTTTCACACTTTGGTACGGTTTGGGAGTTGGATGAGTGCATCTTGTGAGGGGCTAAAGTTGGGTTGAGGAGCAAAGAAAAGAGCCTCATGAAGGCATTGGTGAGTCGTCTTGGCAGACGATGCAGAGCAGCTCATTTCCGGACTCGGCAGGCAGCTCCTTCTCACATCGTCTCCCAGCCAATCATATGTTGTCAGAGGATTTTCCAGCAAATCCCCGCCCACCTCCCCCTTCCCAGCAGTTAATTGCGTAATTTCCTTCAATTATGGACTCTGTACCTTCACCCTCTCATGTTTTCCAATACAGGTTGGCTACTTTCTCAATGAAGAGAACTGAAAAAGAATCCAACTCTTATCAGGCAGAGCAGCACCAACCGTTCACAGCCCCCTAAACTGAGCTGCTGCAGTTTGCACAATAACAGGTCCACAGTAGTGATCTTCTACAACAACCAATGTTTACAGGCAAGATAAGGGGCGACCACTTCATAATGAAGTATAATAAACTTCGCAGGGCAAAGAGACCGGAGGGTGAACAATAATTTGTTAAATTTACAAAGAAATTCATTCCAGTTCAAACACTTTCAAACAACTGAAATAACCAGTTACACACGTCAACCAGGATGAATTATTTTCAGTCAACCAAACAGGCCTCCGCCTGGTCCCGGCAACTACATATGAAATCGCATTATGTATATGAGCTATACAACTTAATGTTTAATGCAGACAACACGGGTTAGAAAACATGTGTGCTGTAGTGTGTCACTTCTGTAATCATGTTATGACAAATATTGTGCAAAGTGTGACGCAGAGAAATGAACAATACATGATGTGATTTCAGAGGGACGGAAAAAGAAAAATACTGACCACAAGTCAGTCGGTCAAAGAACTCCTGCTTCGTAAAGAATAGCTGTGGAGCCGCTTGGCTTAGAATGGTTGAACCAAGTTGGTGCAGGTGGATTACATTGATACCAGCACAACGAGCTAAGAAGGAAAGTTGTCCAACACCAGTAACAGAAACCACTCCTCACATGAAGGGAAGTGACAGGTTTCTGAGAACTGCTCAATTTCACTTAAGTAGGGAGCTTTTTTAAAAGGAAATAAGATTTACTTCCTTTGCATCCTCCAAACAGTGCCACATAAATGTTACACATGTCTGCTCTTCATGAGTGAACAACAGTAACCCGTTTAATATTCCAGGAGGAGGAAGCAGGAAACAAATACTTTCTTTGAAAATGGTGCGGTTGAAACCTCTTATATAAACAAGATAAATAAAAATAAAAACCAATTGAGGATAATTTTAAAGTGGTTTTGATAGTTTTACTTCTCAATGACAATAACATGGTAATGTCAGTTTATTTTCAAACAAGTTTAATACAATTAATCCAAATGATGCAGGTTGCCCAAAACAAGGTATGGCCAGAAAGTAGTCCGGCAACATTGCAAAGAGCAAGTTAGATATTCAGACGATGTGCCTCATCACCAGTAAGGGAACTTCCACGAGCTGCATACAAGATGGACGAGATGGTGAAAGCCTGAGGCCACAGACAGAAGCACAATATTTCAAAAACACGAGTGACCTAAAAGAAATACAAAAAGAATCTCTCTACCAGATAAATCAGCAGTTGAGCTCATCCAATGAAATAACAGGCAGCTTTTGTCGGAGCAGTGAAAAAGTATTTTCAAAATCGAGCCTTTGATCTTGTGGTGGTTTGATCTATTTCACAAACTGCACTAGAATGATTCTTAAGAGTTATTTAACTTTCTCCTGTCCTCCTTACTTTTAATAACATTCCCTTTAATCCCATTTCACCATTTATTTAAATAGTGGCTTAATAGAGGTGCAATTGAACCAGAAATAGCACAAATAGGCAAGTTGCCCCTGAAAAACTACACTATGAGCTGGCTGATGCAGGCAAGGGTCTATAAAATGTAGAGTATCCATCTAGAGATGCAAGCTGGCAGTTAATCCACCACAGAGTCAGCCTTTTCTTTATTTTATTACTTTAATATGGTTTTAATTATTCCCCTTGTTCTAAAATGCCACTATAATGTGCAAGTCGAGTCCAGCTGAGACTGAGACCCATTTGCTTACAGCCCATTGCTTTTAAAGCAGACTGCCTGGTTCATGGCATGAACACTCATTGATTGTATTTCCTGGTGTCACCTAAAGCTAAACCTAACCTAAAAGGGAGGAATCCTAAAGCTCTGTGTCAACTAAGCAAGAGGCAGTGCAGCGACAGGGTGCAACTTTACTGAGGCTGTTGGTGGAAAATGTTTCTCTGCAATAAACAACCCAGCCCAATGTCACACCGGTGAGCTGGCCTTGATTGATGAGCAGTGACAGCAGAAGAAAAGAGACTTCAAGTGACTTTTGTTCGGCCCGACAGACCAAACAAACCATAACAAGGACGAGCATCGACCAAGACAGATGCAGCACATCAGCCGGATGACGGGCAACTTGTCTGTGTTCATCTTTGGGATGTTGATTGTTCTTGCTGACTGATGGGATTTTATAACGGTTTGACAATTACAAAGAATAATTATAAAGACACGGTACGCATTAATGTTAATTTATTTAGCAGTTAAACGTATTATGTTACGTTGCATTAAATCTGCATTGTGTTATCAATTAACTGAATCACATGAAAATAAATGATCTACTCAGTATGTGCACATCAGAAAAAGTGCTGCCAAAGATGTGTCTACTCCATCGACATCATGGTGCATGTATCATGATGGAGGATTCAATAATCCGACATGTTTTGGGTACAGAGTGCATGGACGGCATAGAGCGAGCGGGATGAGTGAAGGCGGATAAAAAACGTCATCACCAGAGCATTAAAACCTTCCGAGCTGCAGTCTTTGATCCTGCCCTCAAGCTTTCCCACCTAATGCCAACACCAGCAGAGGCAGGCCGAGAGCTCGGACACACCGCCTCTGCATCAAAAACAAAAACTAACAGATTGTTCATTCACAGCCCTGAAAGCTTCTAATCAGTATCAGCATCCTAATCAGTGAGCAGTGGCGTACTGGATGCAGTCATGAGCATTGTTTAATTTGGTCCCAACTTGTCGTTTTACCTCACTTTTCAAAAGTTAATGAGCAGAGAAAATGCTTCAATAAGACGCCGAGGGCCCAACAGATGGGAAGGTTTCATGTAATTTATTCTGGAGTTCTATCGCGGCCGTGTCATAAAGCAAGTTCTTATGCCCAATGCGTCCAATGGAAAGCAACAAGTCAACTCAACTCAACTAGGGCGGCAACCTGATCAATATGTAAAGTACTTAAACAATCAACTAATTATTTGGTCCGCAATGCAGGACAATGTAAACAAAACAAACAAAAAAATCTATTTTCCAATGCTCGATGTCTTCAAATGGTGTCGTGATAGAGATGGAAGAAACCGAAAAACGTTCTACTTGAGTCTATGATCCACATTAGAAAGAGTTTAGGGTTTTGCTAATCATCTGCCTAGCTGATTTTATGAAGACTGCACTATGAGAACTGACATTTTGAAATTTTAAACTGTCAAAGTAGCATTTATCAAAAACATTATCTAATTTTCCCTCCCTCAAAATGTTGTGAAATGATTTAAAGCCACTCGCTGGGAATGGCCAAACCACAGCGCTTCTTGTCTCCACAGCAGTGTTGTGAAAGTCAACGTGTGTAATTGCTGTCTGAAGTCCTCACGGTCCGGGCAATACATAGTTTAAGGATTTGAGTGTGTAGAATTACTCATTAGTCTGCTGTGATTCAGAGCGCAAATAGCATTCCTGGCTGGGACCACTAATACCATATGTAGCAAAGCCGAACATGGAAAAGTGCTGATGCTATGGAAGCAAGCATGTGCATGGTGCTTTTTATCAGGAGAGAATCTAAGAACATGTTGGCTGGAACAGATTATCCTAAACTATGGTTTAATGGCACATATGGAAAATAAATTGATCAGCTGCAACATTGTGGTCTAAAAAGCTTTACACCTGAGTACAATTCATAAGGCAAAACAAACACTTTTAAAAGTAGTCTGAATACTAAATTAAGTAGTAGCCTCGCACATTTAGGACGTGGCGATGTTTAAGGATAATTGGTTCAAATGTTAATTGATTTACTTACATGTCCGTAATTGATGAACCCATGTTTGCTGGCAACTTGCTCAGCTTCAGCCGGACCTCCAGGTATGTGGACGGCCCACGTGTTGGTGTAGACCTTCTGACCGAGTGCTGGTTGCGACCCAGAACCCAGCAAGACCAGCAGAGGCACGAGCAGCAACTCGAGCAGCCTGAGCCTGCGGCCTACAGAGGGACACGGAGGGCCAGAAGCCATGGGTTCTCCTGGTGCAGGGCAGTCTCTGAGCACAGTGTCTCTCCGATGGGCCGGGGCTGCCCACAGTGCACGCAGGTGCACAGAGAGACAAAGAAGGGCGGAGGGGTGGGGTGGGGTGAGAAGGGGAGGGGCAGTCTCAGCTCACCTGACAGGAAACAAAAAAGAAAGACAAGGGTCATTTTTCGTGTTTGTAAAAGTGAGACCCAACCTCTGCGACCTCGACCCATATGGGGAAACAATTCACAAGACACCAAGCTCCTTGGTCCAAATATAAGGGTTTGGTCTTCTCTCATGGTTGCTTCAATAAGTGGAGGAAACAAGGAAAATAAAAAGTAATATGGGAATTAACCTGGTGTGAATGTTTTCAGATTTTAAGAAGTGCTGTAACTGAAGCCAGACACGTCAAAATAAAGACAGAGCTCATTAAATAACATCTGAATCAATTTTGTTGGAATAACAGCAGTTTGAAGCAGACGTACAGCCCAGCTAAGTACAGGCATTTGATAATCCCACAGGAAGCAGAGAGCGGGGCGCCAGGCCTCGTGTTGTGGACGGACACACACACAGACACACACACACGGTGTGTGCTCATCAACTGGGATAAGAAATCAACCAGCCAAGCAATGAACTAAGCATACGCAGACTGAACTCACCGTGTCAATACACCACACTCTACATGAACAAACAAGATCCTCAAATTATGAGTTTAAAAGGACTTGGGACACTCATCACCAAAAGAAGTTGCTAATTTTGCCAGTTTACTATACAAAATCTATACACCGGACACATTAATTCCAAAACCTTTTTAAAGAACATCATTTTATTTCCAGCTGTATACATGTACATTGACCTAAAAGACACTTTTGGGGCATAAATTCCTCAATCATGTAATACGTGTATATGGAATTTTGTTTAATTTAAATTACAATTATTGGTATTTGTTCTACCAGCACAACTTCAGATTATTTGTTAGAATAAATCCACTCTTTAGAAAAAGAAACATTTCAATCATAAAACATACATTACAATGAATAACTGGTCTTAAAGTAAGAATTACTCTTGAAATATTAGACGGCTGATGTTCCATCTGCCCGTTTGCGGAGACAGTTCAAGGGACTCCCTTGATATCACGTATTATTTCAAATAAACTGTTTAAACAAATACAGCCGGTGTAGATCTAATTGGTATTAATGGCATTCATCATACTGTTATTACAATTCACTCGGCACCCTGAGATGCTTGTAATGTTAAAAGCCCCGTTGAATCATTGGCCATGCCAATCAAGATCTAAATCCACTGAACCCTCTGCAATGACCTGATACATGTAGAGCAACAGATAAAATCATGTTAACTGGCATGGAAACCAAAAGACAATTCAAAACTGCTGAAATGACTTGGCGACCAGTGTCGTAAGTCACAAGTACGTGTCTCCATGAAGGAGTGTGTAGTGAAGCGTGACTGGCTGTGAGTCGCTACGACAAGCTGCTTATCAGCTAAGTGACTACTGTAATAAATATCTACCCATACATACGCACAGGCAACATGTTTATCAAATAAAGGAGAACAAGTCAGGTGCCGGAGGTGTCTCTCAAAGTAGAACCGTTTCTTTCGTGCCAACTCCAAATCCCTCCACCACCTTTCTAATTCTTCTGCCCCGATTAGTTAAGCCTCTTTAAACACAAACCAGCCTAAATTAAGCAGCAAGGATCCAACACATTGATTACAGGTTACATTTCCTTCTTTAACGAAGGACAAACTGGCTATTTAAGCCAATATTTGCTGGAGTTTTGATCAGACTTAAAATATAAATATGTTGATTTGTTCTTAAAGACCAAATACAGAACGCAGTCTAACTGATCGAACAAGCAAAAATAAAAGACAGCTGGAGATAAACCTAGGAGGCACAACTCACTCAACGTTGTCCTGCGTCCTTTGATGCAACAGGTAAAGACAGTGGGACGGTTTCCAGATCTGTGTTTGAGTTGCAGGCACACGCTGACTTTTATGGACGGATGCATGTGACCTCATCAGGGCGCTCACCCACTCAGCTTGTTTAACGTCACCGTGAAAACCACACGCCACAGCCCACGGGGCACCAAACTGCTTTACTGCTCACCGGAGACAAAGGACACGCCGAGGGTCACCCTCCGGGCTGCAACAGCAAAAGGCCCCACGCGGTGAGAACAAATAGAAATACACACACACACACAATTCTAGTCAGCCAAGTATCATTAAGCACAGCCTCATTACCGAACCCCTCAGAACATTTAAAAGAGGAACGGTTTACACCTCACTAGTTTAATGTTCACATTTTACTGAGATGAAAATTATCTCGCATACAACTCTTTTTGCATGATAACATTTTTTGGAATTATTGCAGACACTTGTTGTGACATGAAATCAATATCGCAGTGAAAGAACACAAAGATAGCCAAAAGGGTGTGTACAGAAAACAAGCCGTGTGTGTGCGTGCGCATGAGAGATAAAAAACCTTATGTAGTGACAGTAATGATAATAACATTCGGCTCAACATGCCATAAACAATGTCCAAAATCACATTAGCAGCTGAAAAGGTGCAAAATGGAACTGAACCTCCCTTTTCCAAACTGTGATACAAAGAGTTTTCCTCGCAGCAGTTCAATAGTACAACAAGATTTATTGCCCCAACAAACTCCACCTCACACAGTAACAACGATGTTAAACAGGCTGCAGATACTCGCCATCTGCAAAGGCCTCATTTCCTCTGGTTCAGAGAAACTGTCCATGAGGTGTGAGTGTTGGACTATCACGGTCCTTAGTTACAAAGACCTTTACAACGAATATGGGCGTAAATTTCACAAAGCCTCTCATTTATAAGAAATGCCGTTTAGTGTAGTTTCACAGAATTCCATTGTACGGAGTAACCTGTTAAACTGCACACATGACCCTAAATATCTGGAATCTCGAACCTTCCACGCCGTAATCCAACATTCAGACTACCCTGCAGAAAGTTTCAATTGTTTGGTCTTCTGGTTTCCGAATTTGGTTTTACATGTTTTTCTTGCATATTCTCAAATGTGTGTTATCTGAACTTAAATGGAAAAGTCTTATAAACCTGCACCCCAGGTTTCAAAGATAAACTTCCCTGCAATGTATAAATTAGGGTCTTAGAGAAATGATTTACCGAGACAGAAGCTTGTTTTCTATAATTGTTTTGTAATTGAAAATATTGACATACTTGATATATTGTGTAAATGCTTACCTGTTAAAGGAAGCATGTGCTTGAGGTTTCACTAGAAGCTGAATAACGGACACAGTTGTGATAACTAAACAGTTCTACTTCATAAAGACTGCCCTTGATTTAGATTCAATGTGTTGTTTAAAATATTCACAAACACAGTGGCCACGTGAGAGCTTTGTTAGAGTTGTTTAAAGTAAAAAAGGAAAACCGGAAACAAAGTACAGCTCTCGAGAGGAAGAACTGTATCACTCCAGATGCACAATAAGTATGAAAGCTTTTATTCAAGTGTGAAGAGGCAGAAAAACACCTTCAAGTTTCAACCAACACCTCTCTTTCACCACCTCGCCTGTCCTCATGAATGGGGGCTTTTAATAACAAAGTGGCGTTTTATCGCTCTCCCTGATGGTGTAGGATGTCACCGTTTTGCTTTTTATGTATTAAACATGTGTATCTGGTAAATAGTTTCCAAACCTTACATTATCACGGTGAATTTGTTCAAAGCCTTTAATGTGATTCACCAATCATCTCTGCAAAGTGAGACTTATTTCTTCCCTGGTGAAAGACATTTCGGGCGGAATGGGTTCACTCTCAGACAACATAATTGCAAACAATCCTGCAAAGAACTCCGCGGTGTGCTTTTCCTTAATTTGTTTTTAACCCGATCCGTCTCCTCCTTCAGACTTCCCTCAGCATTAACACAAGCGCAGCTGTGACATTTCACACATTAGGCTCCAAGTTTTTCTCAGACAAAAAAAAGCCAGTATAGCTGCATTTCGTTTCGATGTTTCTATCGCAACACGGGGCCTTGTGCATTTCAGATGCACCGTGTAAGTGCATGCAAGGGGCTGAACACCCTCGTTTCAGGGTGCACCAGGAGCGGGCAGACAGCACAGGGGACATCGGGGTGCAGGTTAACGATCACAAGGAGCTCCGTTCCCAGGACGACAAGAAAGAAGAGCTGCAGCTCCGTTTCAATGGTGGAACGAAGCTCTTCACAGAAAGCGAGTATTCCTATTAATCCAGGTCGTGATCCATCGGACCAGAGACACATCAACGACATTCGCATCAGCTGTGTTTACCACTCATCGGTCACGAGGTCAAAGTTCAGTCCCGGGAGAGGCTACGAGGGGGTCGTAATAAAACAAAACAATTAAAAGTTACCTTTTGCTATGAGCATGAAGGGCCGTGATTTTACTAAAAACACAAAAGGTCACCGCGGAGGAGCCGTCCGCTCCCGGGAAACAGTCGGCGAAGGAAAAAACAAAAAACTTCTCTCTCGCCGTCGGTGCCCGTTTCGTCTCCGCGAAAACGCTTTAACGTTTTAACGCGAGCTGGAGTTCAGAGGTCGTTTCTCTTTCTTTCTTTTTTAAAGCGCGAGCTCCACTCACCTCACGCGTCCGGTCCGTCAGGGTCCGTGATGAGCGCGCGCAGCGGCAGTAGCTCGCGCCCCGGCGGTTGGAGCAGATCCGAACGGCGACTCCTCCGCGCGAGCGATACGTCTGAAAACTGAGCGGCGACGTGATCCGCGAGAACTTCACACCGCCGGTAGGCTGAGCTGCTCGGTCTCGCAGGTGCCTCCTCCCCGCCTCCTCACCTACCTCCTTTTTTGTTTTTTTTCTTCCCCTCCCCTGGAGAGCATTTCCGTACCTCACATTTCACTACTCGCACCGACCGAGCGGAGTGGATACGCGAGCGACGCGATTCCAACAAACCGTAGAAACCGGACGCTAAACTTACCCGCTTCCTCTCACATCCTGCCCGAGTCGGCTGGTTGCGTCTGACCGCGGGGGGAGAACCGACAGCGGCACGACGGAGCGACTGAAAAATTGATAGGCGAAAATTGTTGGTTATAAACGGTCATGATACCCCTCCAGTGTACCGCTGAGTGGTCCGTAAAAGCCCCAGGAAATACGTCACGGCCGTGGACAAAGTGGAGACGGAGCAACACCTACTTAGTGTCTAACAGCGCGGTGACACCGCCACCTGCTGGTCTACTCCTGCGAGAAGAGAAACATTAAGACGCTTATTCCCAGATCGATGCGTTGTTTTTATACTTAAATCCCTTCACAGAGGGCAAGTGCGACAACGGGAAATAACACCTTAATTTGAAACGTTTTTAGGGGGCTTTTAGGTTTCTAATGACCTGGATGTTCCTCACTGGCACTGTGCAGTGTGTATGTACCCTGTCACCTCTTGGTTTGTATACAATGTAGACTGTACATTGAGACTTCATTATTTACTTCCCCAGCCCAAACAATGACCTTCTCTGCTGGAATAAAACGGTCTACTCTCAGGTGTATAAAGCACTTAGAAATATGCACCATATGGGCAGCCTCCACGGTCAACCATGCCCTGCAACATTACATTACATTACAGGTCGTTTAGCAGACGCTTTTATCCAAAGCGACTTACAACATCATGGTTCAAGTGCAGCCTGGGTACACAGCGTTATTTCTCTGTGAACCCTTGCTCTCCTCTTTCCTGTATTCTCATGACTGGAAAAAATACTCCCAAGCCTAAAACAAAATGTCCCTGCACAACTCAAGGCTACAAAATTAGCTTATACTACACACCTTCTTCACTAATATTGTTCTTGGGTGAGTCTTATCCTTGAACATATATGCAATTCATTAAATTACTAAAACAAAACAATTGACAGGCAGTGAACTTGGGGCACAAAGGGTGTAATGGCCCCTGCAGGCATAGTTGCTCACTTAACCTACTTAGTGATCTTCCTGCACCCTCATACTTTGCTAAAAAAAACATGCGGTATCTGGATCCCAATTAAGAACCTTTCAAATATGGTTTACTTCACCAAGCTTTAAGTATTACATATACTAAGACCTTCAACCGTAAGTTTCCGTGTTGCCCTGATAAAGGGCTGCAAATTACTTGTTATGTTGCTCCCTAAAGTCCTCAACCTGAAAGGTTAAAAGCTTCACTTGTTTTTTCTGTAATCGGATTCGCATTGCACAGGCTGACTAACTATTGCATTAGCTTTGCTCATCTTTAATGCAGTACCACACTCAATACATGAAAAATACCTGCATGAAGGAGCAACAGGAGGGATTATTGGCTCCTCAGATTTACGGATACAGCAAGCTAGTTATATTAGCTATAAATCATTCTGGTATGAAACTGACCCCTCACTATTACGTATTTTTATGTCAATACATTTTAAAAAAACATTCATATTATGCTGTCACATATGTCACACCGTACATGTATAATTGATGAAAGATACAGAAAGAATTATAGATGCAGTTGGAGAGGACAGGTTTTGTACTGGAAAGCCACAGCATTTTTGTAATGAAATAAAAACAACTATAGGTCCTAAAAGAAAGATAAATATGCATGATAAAGAGCAATGCAAATGAAAGGACCAATGCACAAAGCCAACAGAACAGTTCAAAATATTTATTTGAAATACAAATATGATGATACCAAGGGAGGTCAAAGGACTATTACATTTGTTCCAGTATGTTAAAGAAGATGCATCAACAAGAGGCACAGAGCCAGTGAGTACGTAGAAAAGCTGTCTGCTGCTGGAGCCGAGTTCCTTCCTGTGGAAGCAGACAGACAGAGTTCATCGCCTTCAGAACACAACGTTGAAATTGGTGAGTGGAAACAAGACACCACAACAGCATTATGCAACACATAAATACCTATAACAGCCTCACTATGAGGAGGAAATTGAAATTACATTTTCATTTCTATTCTTTTCTATTTTTTGAAGACACACCTCTGAGCTCCAGCAGAACGTCTCCTTCGTAGCGAGCAAGTCCGACAGCGTGCCTTTGCTCCGCGTCCATCTGTGCCCACTGCTCCTCAGTGACGGCCCACGCCTGCTCCGCACTCAGCCACGACATCTGAACTGCACTGAACACCACCTGACGGACACACAGCAAACACACACACACACTGACGGGCTCACACAGGACACCTTGTCATTCTGCTTGTTTTGTTGTGAGACTTTTTGCACTGTTTCTTAAAAACATGTCTTAACATATCCTTTACAGACCTAATTCATATCTGTTGTTAAAATATGAACAACACTAAATCAATGGGGATTCATTTGAGGAAATAGATGTACAATTTGGTAGCTATGCATGCCATGTTTGAGAAACATTATTTACATAATGTTCTGAAAATCACAAAGCAGTACAAATGAGTAAAAATATATAAAACATCTGCTCATAGTTGTTCCCCCGGTCATTCAGTGCAGAGTGATACTGAGCCAGCATGCACAAAAACAGAATTGAGCCATCATTCATTTTCTATAGATTTCAATATGATATCTTAAAATCAAATTATTCAGCCAAATGTTTCAATGGTGATGATCATAATTAACTCTCCATTAAGATAAACATTGATTTGAATGAATGGCCAATAAATTATGGTTGAAACTCACTGCCATCTTCTTTGGTGACATCAGGGCGATGGCTTCAGGGGTGATTCCCTCCACTTGTTCTTGAACCAGGGCTGAAAGCACCATGTCCTCTAAGCCCGCTACAGAGTGACACAAACACTGTCTAGTCAGATAACAAATGATCCTCATATCAAATCACAGGAAGTGTAAACGTTTTCCTGAAGTTCAATAATATTAATTGCAGCTATCCATCCAAAAGCTGTCATTCTCTCGTCCCGGCTGCCTCACTCGTTGAGAAGAACTAAGCAATTAATCACCGAAAAACACCCCCCGGGGATATTACATTCTACTGTACCTGCCAGCGTCCCAATTTCGGTAAAAACTTCTGGTCCCCAAGCACTGACTGGACCAAAGGCCTCAGGTCTGGACAAGCGGCTCGTCAACTCCTCCATCTGCTGCTCTGAGCACGGCAGGGACGTCTCCCGCAGGAACAGGACAGCCACACTGCGGTGCGAGGGAAAGTATTTTCTCTTCTATGTCATCTTCTACTGCAGGGTACGCAACATGCTTCATGAGGGTTGTGCTGCTGAGAAATGTGAACCACGGCTTCCCGTTACTTCTGTTAGCAGGTGGATGTGGAATCATTTCAACCGAAAGCATGAGAGGGGTTTCATCACATGGATCACCTTTAAGTACTGCTTTGTGCTGCGTGTACAAGTTTACTGGTCTCTGTCCTTTTTTGGATTGTATATATTCGTCTTTGTAAAGGCTCCTCTTCGGTTTGATGCCATTTATTTTTGACTGACCTGAGATTGTAGGGACTCAGTCTTTTGATTTCCGAGGGATAGAAACCACACATCAGGTTCCCAAATGTTGCCATATCAACGGCTGTTAACTGCTCCACTTTCAGTTTGCGTTTCCGCATCACACCTAAAATGACCGCCCTCGTCTGTGAAAACCAAACAAACAAAAAAGATGGAAAAATGTACGCGTTAACGTCTTCAGGAGGAGATCTTTTCATTTCCTGAAGCCCTGAAGCTTTACATCAGAGTGAAAAATTCAAAACCTTTTTAGGGCTCCAGTGTGTCAGTGTCCCCAGATGAGCCAACACACCCGGATCAGTTAGATGGGCGTCCTGGAGGTCTCTTTCCCCCATCTCAGTGACCACGGGGCCCAGAGCCAGCACCTGATCCGCTCTCAGCTCCCTCACCGGACTGAAGGACTGAGTTGATGGAAGAACCAGAACATGTTTCTACCACAAACCACATTGATAAATAAAACACCACATGTTTTATTTAGCTGTCCCGGTCAGTAAGGATTGGCCAATTCTTAGAAATCAGAAGTTGAAATGTGTAAAAATGCCACATTTTTTAATCAAGAACTGTGTTGTAATGATTTGAAATGTTTAATTGGAACAATATCTCAACAGAGGAAGATGAGTATTTGATACCTTCTTACCTTCACAGTTCTACTGACCTTCCTGAGTTTCAGCCACAGTGCTCGGCGCTGCTCAGAGCTCATCGAAGTGTCCTTAGCGAAGACCTGGACACACTCTTTCAGGTCCTCCTGAGACATACGGCTGAGCTGAGCGGACGTCCAAGCCGATGGAAACGTCCCTCTGATGTCTGCACAACTTGGAACGGGCACTGATCGAAGACACAGCAGTGAACTCGGGGAGATGGAAACGTATGCAAAGCAAGACCCACGGTTTAGCAACGGGACAACAAGGTACAACACAACATTTATTTAACCTTTTGCCCTCCTGCTCCGTGCTTTGACAATCCCTCGAAGGAGGCTCTGAGTCATCTTCCTCTGCCGCTGGAGGTCCGTACACTGAGTCACACAGACTCCCCCCACCACACTGTCCTCCCAGCGGCTTTGACCCACCAGGACCTGCTCCACTGTGTCTTTATTCAGCACTGACTACACAAGAGAAAAACATATCATCATCGTGCTATGCCTCTGGAAAGGTGAGAAGTTAAATGTAATTGAAGGAATTATTTCGGGTGATGCCTTTGGATGCTTACGAGGGGAATGGAGTTTATTTGCTTTGTCGAGAGAGAAAATACCAGCCGTCCCAAATGTTCCACATCTCCGGCCTGCCATTGGGATGGCTCCCTGACAAACACACAGCTTATCATTACTGCTGTTCTATGCGATCCATGTCGTAATGCAAGCTAGTTTCTCATTTCAACATCTCAGTGTATTTTACCACACTGGAAGGAGCCTAACAGAATAACGTTTTTAATTCCTCTGTGGATTATAATTATTCTGGTTGTTTGTTGCCAATAAATTACTTTTTAGAAATAGCAATGGAAATTAAAAACTCCAAACATATTGTTGATCCAGGTGTCAGTCCAGATGTTGTTTTTCTTCTTTTTTACCCAAGCAGGTCTTTTTGAGTGAAGAGCGCACTGATATCTCTCAGAGCCTCTTTAGGAAGGCAGAAACTTCTCATCTCCTCCAGCCGCAGAGCCAGCGCTCCTCTGTCCACCAGGGCCAAACTGTCCCGGTCCAAGAAAGGCAGTAAAGGCCCCAGGACGTCCAGGGTGGGCCCATCAATCTCCCATTCAGCCCGATAGGAGCCCTGCAGAGCAGTCAGAGATTTCACATTATGACTTCAGGCAAGTTATGTTCTGGATCTCTTTCTCAATCTGTTTCTCTCTCTGTATGTTTGCGGGTGTTTTCAAGAAGGCTGAATCAATACCTGTAGTTGCTTCCCATTAATGTGTCAATCAAAATGAGTCTCAATCACTGACTCAACCACTGATTTCATTTAACCAGCAAAAGCATCTCTGAGCTCCTTCTCTGAACGCTCACAGCGCTGGTTAATCATTTTAATGACCCTGAGGTTGAATCAGTGATTCTGTTTAAACTTAATGTTTTTTATGAATAACAAAATATGTCAAGCCTTGCAAATCATGTATGAATATGCAGTAAATAGGGGGAATACACTAAGGGCAGTATTTGTATGGTTCGTGTTGATGCTTTACCAGCTCAGTTACAGCTTTCTCAGCTAAATTAGTCTGCTTGTAATGAGGCATTCTCAGGAAATCAGCAAAGTGTGTCTGAATGTGGTCCAGAATGGCCCTGAAGGATGCATTGGAGAGTTCCTCTATCATCGTCACGCTAGAAAAGAGCAGAGCAAATGTGTGAATGTGGATCACTTCGGATAAACAATTCAAATATTTTCCGCTTATTAGTGAGACACTTACGGTAGCGTTGCTGCAAACCCAGGGCTCAAAGCACTGAGGTTCATTGCAGGCTGTTGCCTCAATTCTTCTATGATACATTTTCGCTGGTACCACAAACAAAACACATCTGAACTTGTTGGAATGAAACTTGATTTTGTGAAACTGATTGAACTGACAAAACAACATGCATTTGTTCCTCACCAGAGCCGGTCTTGTGCCTCCAGGCTGCTCACTAACAAACCGAAGCAGCTCGACAAAATCCGTATTGTTGCTAAAAAGCCTCAGAAAATCACAACTCATTCCACTGGAAATATGACCCAGATCACTACAAGTAAAGAAGAAGTTGTTATTTCAATCTTTCATTGATGGAGTATCAGACCTGAAATTGACTTAGACTTTGGAAACCGTCATTCTGTCTGCAGGTAACATTGCTTTATGATTCAAACCCTAGCTGTGGACGCTCTGGTGCAATACATCCTCACTTACCTCGCCATCTTGCTGGTAATGTTTTTAAGTTGGTGGATCTTTTTAAACAAAACCTGAGCCTGTCCAGGAAAAAAAGGAAATGGCGTCAGACCCGGCATTTGATTTTAATCAAATTAGTTAAATCTAATTCTACATACTTTTAAACGGTATTTCTGTTTTTTCCTTGCATGTTTTTGTCCGCTTGAGACATGTGTACTTTTAAACAAGTCCAACCAATAGTACACAGGAAAATCAAAAAAGTTGTAGAGCAAAGAAGTTGAATCTGACAAGCAAAATGGTCTCTGCATTGTTTCTTATATATAAACTCTGAACTTTTTTGTTTAATCAAAAAGCAGTTCCGCTCAGCTACAGAGTGAAAGATTACCAGACTGGATGTGGAATACAACACTGGTGTTATGTCACCAATACGACTGTACCACGTTAAATACACTATCTTATGCGTAAGTAGAATTCATTTCAGGTTAAACCCCAAATCTCTCTGATAGGTAATTGATAACCCAAACTGACTATAAAAAGGATTTTTTAGCCAAACAGAATGGAAGAAATAACACAGGCGTTTCACTTTTATGTAATATAAATTGATTTTTTATCATATGTCACAAAATAGTTTAGTGCATCTGACCAAAAGAGCATTCTTCATTGATTTGACAGAGGTCTTGTTAGGCCAAGAACTGGAGGTGAAACACACTCCGCCGTGACAAAATCCCTTTAAGGGAGCCATTATTAATTTATGCTACACTCCTCCATACCATTGTACTACATCCAAACTAATTAGCTTGATGGCAGCTGATGCGTGAGGAGTATTAATATCCTGAAAGGATCATGTGAACCGTGTCCAATGAGTTGCAGATTAATGGGACCCGAGCTGGTAACATTTCTTCTTTTGTCACAGGACTGCCAACCTGTTGTTGTCATATCATTGTGGTGTGAAATAGCACACAAAGGTGGGTTAAAGGGAAATGTGCACCTGCTGTGCTGACCAGCGTATGCCTCTGTACAGGCTGACATTTCTCAGGATTGTTTTTCCATCTAAGATTTCTGTCAGCTTCCTCAGAGGGATGAACGGTAATAGACAGTGTGCCCGCTGGGTGATATTCTGCAAGTATATGTGCAGAGTCTGTAGACACACAAAAACACTGTGAATTACAACTTACATCCTGTCAATCTACTCGCACGATGAGCCACAGATGATTGTAACGAGAGATGAAAAGATAAGAGAATCAGATCGCATTGTCACCTCCTGCATTGCATTGTACATCATGGCTCTGTGGCCGGGCTGCAGCTCAGTTAGCAACATCTTCCAGCACAGGCAGTGTTCAGCTCCACTGATCTCAGACCAGCGGAGGTCTTTGAGCACAGCAGAAGAGAGGCCAGAGAGTAACGACTTCAGTCGGCACAGCGTCTCCACGGTGAGCTGACAGGGAGAGCGAAACAGTGATGAATGTGCACTTGGCTGGAATTCACCAATTCTTTTAAAAACATTTACTTACAGAGGTGTCCTTTGAAATCTTGGATAACATTTGAAAAGCCTGAGGAAATTATTTGAAAAATTAAGACACATGCATATAAAATTGTACAGGCGTTTTATATTCATATATTTTGGTCATATATTCACACAATGTTTATCCTCTTCTTCTTATCTCTGGAGACTTGGAAGTTAATTAAGGCGAGACACCTCAAGCATAAACATTAATTTTAACGCACTGGACAATTTGGACGTTTTGGGATGTTTTGCTTTCATAACACGTTCGCTTCGAGACTAGTGGATCCACAATTTACATTTTGTTTTTCTTTTTTTTACTTCTTTGTCTATGTCTGCAGATCTGTTCTGCATCATAGTTACATCGAGCATCTTTTTTAAATCAAATTTAGAAGTTAAGTTTAAGGGAAGTACTATTAATCTTTATACATTCGAGTTCACATTGGAAACCTGTAGTTAACTAACATCGACTAAGGTAGTATTTAACAACTTTGCCAAGAATAAGAATGACAAGAAGTCACAAAAAAAAGAAAATTCCCTGCCAACCTGTGCTGGAGGATATCTCTGTGACGCCGACTGTGAGAGGATTTGGATGAGCAGCTGTGAGGGCAGTGACAGCAGGAAGGAAGCTCCTAACTGAGGGAAGAGTCCGCTGAGGGTGGACAGCTCGTGGGGAGTCATGCTGCTGACGTTCAGGTTCTCCACGGCTGGTATCAACCAAGAGGACAACTGTCCATGGAACACAATTAAAAGGAAAAAGACATTCCGGATGTTGGTGGTTCGAAGCACATGTTCTGAAAAGGAGTAAAGAACCAGTGCCGCTTACCCGGCCAGAGGTACTGATGAGCCCCTTGGACATGCACTGAGCCAGCTGCTGCCAGAGAGCCGAGGACACGGCCGAGTCCCGAAGAAAAGAACCCAGCTCCACGGGATCCAGGTAACATGCAAGGACCCCTAACCTGCAAAACCACATCTGCTGTCACTTGTGTCTCTTTTGGGGTGTTTTTTTTTAATAGGACAATGAATATTGGTGCCAATGACAAATACTATCTGAGTAGCCTGAGGAGTCATCAGGAGAATAAATAAATGTTGAGTTTATAAATATGTTGAGTTTTGGGATGATCAAACTTTTAAGTTATAATAAATAGTACTATGGCCAAACACAAATACAAATTAACACCAACTGCCAGCTCTGAATATGAGCCGTCGCTGATGAAACATATTGGAGTACTGTCCATCATGTGACTCTCTGTCCATTTATTATAAAGACAAACGCTCAAAAACACAAAGTATCTCAGTCCCACCTTAATATGTTATCCCTGGTCAGATTTTGCTTCCTGCTGTAGAGAGTCCGGAGCACATGGCGCCCTCTTACACCATCCAGACTGCCGTTGCCTAGCAACTCTACCAGAGGAGTAAGCTAAAGGAGACAACGGGTAAAATGTTGACAACGAATGTTCACCCGAGTTTGTCTAAGATGACTGAGAAAGATACAGCAGTTATGTAAAGTTGTGTACCTGTTGCGATGTGAGTTGCTGAAAATGGCTGACCGGCAGGTAAGGAAGAAGAGGAAGGATGGAACTGAGAAAGTATGGTGGCCATGAAGGGACATCTCCCACCACACTCGATTGCAGGAGTCTTTTTACAAAGGCCTTTTTCTGCAGTGACTTCATCTCTGAGCTGTGGTCCCGAATGGCTGTCAACCTGAAGAGTAACTCAAAAGCGTGTTAGCATCAGGACAATAAGATGTATCAAAATGATGTATAACTGTTTCTGCTTGGGTCAGTGACTCACACACTGTCGTTGACTATCAGGGAGGCTGGGAAGCTCATGATGTCAGAGACAGACATGTAGGGGATGAACTGAGAAAGGTCCACAAACAATTCCGGGGTCACTCGGGGGAATTTATGGATGAAAGCAGCAGTCATTGTTTCCATGGCCTGTAACTCCTTTTGAGAGGCCTGACACCGAAAACAAAAGAGCGGGACAGAAGTTGATTGTATTTCATTTGGACCGCTTTAACTCTGCAAATAAGATATGCATCACGATCGTAGGAAACAAAGGGAGTTAACCCTGCACAATTAGCTTCATGTGAAGTGTCGCTAATAGTCCACTCAGTGTTTTGTTGAGAGTTTGAAAACCAACCTGGCCAGTTTCAACTTGTAGCTTGTCCCAACTCTGATGCATATGTGAGAGAAATCTCTTAACTGCATCTTTTTCAGCAGACATCACTAGTGTGCGAATGCTGTCTCTTGGCATCTGGAGGTATTCCTGTTGAGATGAAGTAAATCACTTAAATATAAAGTTGAAGTGAACCGATCTGTTGTTGAAGTCGACATCGGAATGTAGCTGCACAGACAAATACCTGCAGCAGAAACCTCAGAGCTGATGAGTTGTCATCCAGCTGGATGAGATCCCACAAGACAGGCTGATGAACAGAAACAGAATGAACAAAAAGTTTCTCTTTGCTCAGTGTGTGTGTGTGTGTGTGTGTGTGTGTGTGAGAGAGTGTGTGAAGGCTTCCCGGTGCCAGTCAGCTATCTTACACTGAAGCAGCTCAGTAGATCCTCTTTTAGAGTGGCGTTCTGCTCTCTGCGGAGAAAGACTCCCACGGTGTGCAGGACACTGGTGGAGGCTTCTGGTTGCAGTGTGGCCCAGGAGGTGTTGTCGAGGAGACTGGAAAGGAGGATAGCCTGAGCCAGACCTTGCCTCGCTTCTCTCTCCCCCTCATCCAGGCCCGAAGAGAGGCCCACCATGAAGTCCAGGACACGTAACACGTATCCCAGCGCCACTAAAAAACCCTCACGCTCCCCTCCCTCGACCTCACACACACTCATCTTGTGTAAAGCTTCCACCAGCATTGGAGCCGGGTCCACACACAGCTGCGACGTGTCAAAGTCATACCGCGCTGGGAGCATGTCAAAAAACCTCTGCAGGAGGCACTTCCTGCCCTCCAGTTCCGCCTGCAGGTCAGCACAGAAATCGGCAAACTGGGGAATTGCTCTTGACAGTCGATTGAAGAGTGTGGCATTGTGACAAATGTACTCTCTCAATCCGTGTGTCTGCTCACAGAGCTCCAGGAGGGTGAAGTTGGTGAAATCATGCACGGCCCATGCCCTGTACTGACAGGTCGCGTCACCGTGTGAGAAGTTGTGGATTTTGGAGCAGTACGAGGATGCCCAGCTGCCCTCGGGCGACCGTCCCCCGCACACAGCCGAGACCAGCATGGAGTTGTTGGGCAGGAAGCAATGCCTGAAAGCTTCAGCACTGAGCGACCTTTGGCCCAACTGCACCGCACAGTTGTCGTCGAGTACCGGATTTTCTATCGCCTCACCTGTCAGCTGCACACACAGGTCATCTATACTTGTCAGGTTAAAAAAGTGGTAGTCCTTTGCCACTGCAGCCTGAAAACATTCAAATTAGTCAAAATGAAAAATGGAGGAATTATGATTAACAAACAGCCAGGCATGTATACACAGCATTTCCTCACTGGATTTCAGAGATTTAGCAAAAAAAGTATGTAATACCTGTTGTGCTCTCTGCAGCCAGAAAGAGGAGTTGGCGCAGACCGTGTTGTTGAATTCATGGGCGAAGAACTCGCTGCAGACATGAACCCAAAGGAAGTCCTCTTCAGCAGCAGACAGGTACCAAGCTGCATCCGAGCATGTGGCATGCAGGTCTAGGCCCATCTGGGCCTCCGCAGGATCCACTGATCCGTTCTCCCCTTCAAACAGTTTACAGTAGAGGAAAACGGTGAAGTTGGAAACGCCTGTCAGGCCCGGGATGGATTCGTTGCACGCTGCCTCCAGGATTTCAATGGAAGTCAAATACTCAATTTCTCTCTGATGGTCAGAGCGCCCTCCCATCCTCCCTTCTTGGGGCTGGTTTAGCTGGGGGGGATGAGGTTTGGTAGGCAGGTTATGAAAAGTTTTTTTTTTGGAGATTGTTCGTGAAGAGGGGCTTTCTTTTGGGGATGATTTGCCCGGTGTTAGTAGCGATCTTAGATGATCTGCTTCAGTGGGGGGGCAGGTCAGGAATGGGAGTGAGCTTGGGAAGCTCTGCGAGCCCAAAGCCTGCGCGTCCCAGGTCACATTATGTCTAATCCCCCTTAATGTGCATGGAAAGAATGGCAGAAATGAAATGTATTTCGGCTGATAAATATGTCATATATGTAGACTGCAATCAAATAGTAGTTTAAAATACTTTACCATAAGATGAGCTGTCTAAGATCACCTTGAAAAAGATGAATGAAAAGCAAATATTAACAGAAAATCAAATGGAAAGAAGCAACTGCTTCTGCAGCTCACAACCATGCCTGGTGTATAGAGTAGCTGGGCAACAATGCACAAGATATAATGTTACTGGCATCAATGAGAGGATAAAGGGATTAGCTGGACTAACAACAGATGCTTTCAATGGTGAGGATGATTATAAAGATTTTAAAGCAGTGTCAGTCACTGTCACTGCCTCTTGTGTAGCTTTCAGGTGAAACCAGGGACAAATTTGTGCATACGAGTCTAAAGGGGGCTAAAACATACAGATCCAATTATAAAAAAAGGGTTTTCCTCTGAGAATGACAATAAATACTGTGATTTACTTCTTCACTTGTCTATGTTTAAATTTACGTATTTAGTTTAATCAACCTCTGAAGCAAAGCTTTTAAATGTAAAACTGTATCAAGATACAGCAGCATCTGACATTATGTAACGATTGAAGGATGCACTTTCATAACTAGCTAAAGACTCTATAATCAGATTGTATGGCTGCATGTCATTTAAATAACACTTAACAATGCCTGTTTTGCTGCTACACAGACTCACCAACTGAGCATCGGCCCCTTGCATTGGGCTGTGGTGCATCCACCAGGCTGCTGACATCGTCGAGCAGCGCCATAGTGACTCGTGACACTTTCTTCCTCAGGTTACCGTAGACAGAACTACCCACCCTGTGCAGGAAGCCCCTCCTCAGCCCATCCAAACCCTGCACCAGAGCTACATTCTTCTGTGCCAAATGGCCACCTCGCTCTCCTCCACCTGAGCGAGATAACGCCTGCAGCAGGAAGCTTTGCATGGAGTCTGGACCATCCTCAGCGGTCGTCGCATCTCCCTGAGATGCATTTGCAGACAGCGTCTCCTGACTCATGGCCTCAGGGGGCAAGCTGAAGGGCCTCAAACGCCCGAATACACTTGAGCTCCTGCTGTGTTCGGCGGCTTCCCCTGCTGGGTGTAAACTCACAACAGGCTTCCAGCTGCGTGTTTCTAGGAAACGTAGCAGCTGCTGCAGCCAGCTTACACTGAAGGCGCAGTCACTGCGGCCTTTTAGGGCACAGATGAAGCCCTGCAGGCCGGCACTGGCCTGACCGTAGGTCCCACTGAGCAGAGCCTGAAGGGCAGCTTCGAACACTGCGCTCACCGTCCTCCAGTTCTGAGATAAGAAGGTCAAGAGAGGCCTGTGGGACTGACGCTCTGACAGGCTGATCAGACTCTGCAGCAGCCCCAGAAACCAGTCCCAGTGAGGGCTTCCCCTCAGGGACAAGAACCAGTCCTGCACTCTGACGCTGGGCCGAGGTGGGACGCGGCCGCTCCACTGGTTCAGGGCAGCACTCCCCTCGGACTGGAGGACGTAGTTCAGCACTTTCTCCCACAGCTGGTCCTCGTTCCCCTGTGCCTCCTCGAGCTCAGCGCCCATCTCTTGGAGGTACAGAGAGATGTTGTAGAGGAAGCCGGACAGACGGTGCCTGTCAATTGGCTTGTTCACTGGAGGCAGGTTCTTTTTGGGGAGTAGGCCAAGGGATTTTAGGCTACCCACGATATTCCTCACCCAAGGGATCACGGACTGGTCCCCGTGTGGTTCTGGAGGAGATTTCTGAGAGTTCCAGCCACTCGCTGTACCCCATTTTGAAATGATCTCCCTAAGAACGGCGTCCCTCTGGTCCTCTTTACCACCTCCTGAAAGAGTCCCATAAGAGAGAGCTAAAGCGAGCATTGTGTGCGAAACACATGTATCAGTGAACAGAAGGCATGTTTTATTAGGTGAAACATTCTAAAGGTGCACTCACCTGTCTTCTCAGGGGATCCTTGTCCCAGTAAAAAAGCACAAACTATGATGCTTGTGAATGCTCGAGTGGCCATTGCTGGCCCTTTTTCTGCCATCTTCATCTGATGGCAGCATGCAGCGTGACACAGGCACGTCCCATCGTCCCCTTTTGGTTGTTCTTCCTATTGATTGCACAAGAAACAAAACAACGGCCTTCTTTTTTTTCATTTCATGCTATGGGGGTAGACTCAAGGAGTAAAGTATCTCAATTGAGGGAGAATATTAAACCTTAATGACGGCAGCACTCTCACTGCATGGTAACGGCAATGTGCTTAAAAGTGACGCAGGCTACAACAGGTCCTTGTGTTGTAAAAAGTGACGGAAGTAAAATTATATGTATGAGGTAAAGTATTCATACACACAGTTCTTAAATAGATCACAGTTGGACGAGTAGAATAATAGATAAAAAAAGGAAATAAAAGACTTACCAACTGTTAAAATCCATTAGTTTCTTTAAGTATCCTTTCAAACTTTCACCAGCATCGTTCACTCAGCGGCATCTAAACACTCTGACCTCTTTCTGAGCGGTCTGCTCTGTTTCACCCTTATTCCGACTTTCTTTACCTTTCACTCTTACCTCCTGTACCCCTCCCACCTGCTACCTCTCTTTCTCCCTCTCCCTCTCTCTCTCTCTCTCTCTCTCTCTCTCTCTCTCCCTCTCTCTCTCTCTCTCTCTCTCTCCCTCTCTCTCTCTCTCTTCTCTCGCTCTTCGCTGTTTGGGGCTCGTGCTTTTTTGTCTCTGGTCTTTAGGGTTTTTGCTTAATGTTTCATGTTTTATACATAGTTGACATACAGGCTGTTTAATCATTTTCTAGGAAAGAGTGAGAGAGACGCACTTTCGGCGTACACACCATCTTGAGTTAAGATGTGCAGCAATGTTGTTTGTGTGTTCCCGGTACAGTAGGTTGGTTCATCCGGCTACAGGAAGGTCACAGCAATAGGTGCTAACGCAAGGTGAAAATCTGGATCATGTTAATCACTCCCAGGATATCCATCCCATTCTGCCCGATGTCTCCCGCTGACTGATTCCCTATCGAGCTGTCTCTCAGCTGGGACCCGTCTTGTGACTCTGGGTTTGTTGGGGGAGGTGTAGTCTTACCAACCGGACCGGGCCAGCAGAGAATGTGCAGGCTGTCACTGTTTAGACACATTTATCCCTGGGTCAGGCAGACTCACAATTGAGCCCTGTGCAAGGGCGCTGCAGCCGGCTCCCCGGAGTCAGACCACTGTCTGTGGGCCCTGAAACCCAAGAGGGCCGAGTGAAAGGACCCCCCTCCCTCCACCTGCTTTAGCTGTATGATACCGTGGCCTGCACTGGGACAATATCCTCCTCGTGTATTATTGATACCACAGGGAACAGCGATCACTCAGTGCAACAGGGCTCGATTCACCACAGGAATATTCAATGAGAAACCGGATCCACCCCACATGTCCTCTCTCTCTCTGGTGGAAACTCATAGAAGCAATCAGCTGGTGAAACTAGCTGTTGAGATTGGAATAGTTGGTTTGAGGCCAATTTATGGTCCCCATCTTCTAATAAATATCTCAAATTTTCCCTGAAATGAGCTCTTTGCCATCATTTAGAAGCTGAAGAATTGATTTATTTTGTGTATTTTAATCCGTTTAATAGCAATAATGACACAACTGCACTCCATTAAAACATCGTTTTATTGTTAATTAACGTGACAATAACAAACCTTTCAGCAATTGGATTTTTTTTTCATTACATTTAACAAGAAAAGTCAAGATAAAATGTTGTTCTACTTTACATCCTCTTACTCTCTGGTGTCAAGCACACGCTTTAACTCAAGTTAGGTTGTATTTAGCAATATTTTATGGTCACTTAAAAACCTTTACTGCCGCTTTGAACATTCCCCGCTAGCAGTATTATCAGTTCTCACTTTATACACAAATGAATTTTTTTGCTAATTTTTGTATATGTGTCCCTGAATGTGACCTTGAATGACCACAAATACAGTTGGTCAGAGGGACAAAAATGTGAAACATTGCGCTAGTCATGTAAATTCTCAGAGCGGACTATAAACATAACCCTTTTTAAATACAGACAGATCGAACAATGATCCTACAGAGCTGATTTTCCGCTGCTTTGCTGAAAATGATTCTAAAATATCATATTATATTATGGAAATATAAGAAATGCTGGTCGGAGGTTTTAAAAAGTCATACGTGGCTCTTCTATGAATAAAAACAAGATTCTAACAGGCAAACACGTCTTACTGTCACAGAACAGCCCGTATTCTGATTGAGTTGTCAACTAATTTACTATTTCAGCACTTTCTCTTCAGAATCCAAACACAGTATATACATATTTAGTTCAAATGGAGCTAAGACTACCCTAAAAATGACTCTTTGAACTGAGCGGGCAAATGATAGGGATTAAAACCAGCTATGATGGAGTACAAAGAGTAATTTAAAGCCGCTGTAACTATCTCTGTCAATCAGTACCAAGTCAAGCTTCTTTTAAATCAAAGTTGTTTAATTCTAGATTCATTTTTGTATCTTATCACTGTCTTGGTATCTTAATATACACAAAAACAAAACAAAATGTGTTTCATCCCTTATCATTATTACCACATATTCTATATTCTTAAAATCTATTCTTAAAAACAAGTTGAAGAGAGGTAATACGTTTACTGCATATCGAAGGAAAATATGAGAAACAGTTCAGATGCTAACGAGTTGCCACGACAGTGAGAGTGACTGTAAATGGATCAGTCTGTGGATTCATTGCATGTCATTTTGGAGCGAACCCAAAATCTATTTCAGACACATTTTCTACACAGAGCTTCTCCACTCAAAGCTTTGTAGGTCAGCAGCAAATCCTTACGAACCTGACGGACACACAGTAGTAGCAATGTTACTACAAAAACGTAATCAACATCATCATTAATTTGCCTAATGCATGACACTTCTAGAAAGTAAGCAAACTACTAACCTGAGAGAGTTGAGCTTTTTTACACTCCAACTTCCTGATGGATTTATTAGTTGAGTCCAGATTTTTCTACAAGAAAAAACATGATTCGTCTTGGTTTTTGTACAGGAGGCAGTGTATAAAATACACATTACTTTGAATAAAATTCACCTCAATCGTGTTAGTGGCCCCATGGAGAGCAGTTTGGTCCATGTTACAGGCAGAAAGCACCGAGAGGAGCTGAGCCTGCGTCGCCTCCAGGCCGTCTGTCAGGTCTTTCAGCTTCCCCTCCAGCTGCATGCTCTTCCTATCTGCCTTCTGCTGCACCTGCTCGATATTCTGAGTGGACGTCTCGTACAGCTCATTTGTTTCCAGCCGAAGCTGAATGACATGTAGGCGGAAAAATAAGTGCAGAAACATTCACTCATAAACTGAAAAGCAAACAAGCATTTGGCCACATCCGGTTTTCCGTGACACGAGCCAACATCTGAGCAACGTGGTACCGTGCAACTCCATCCGAGCGTTTACCTTGCTGAATTTTGGTTCCAGTGCCTCATGATCCCGTTTCAGTTGTTCCAGCTTCTTTTTTTTAATCGTTTCACTGTCAACCTGTTAAAAACAATGTATCAATTTAACCTTGTGTTCATGTATAGGATGCTGCATGTCAGGAGCAATTAAGGCACAGTAATTCATGTAAGTGTAGAAATTTTCAATCACAAACTTAAGAATAATATAATATTCACAAATAATACAGCAACAACCTTTTCCAATGAAGAGAATCGCAGTAGTTTCTCTAATTTCTTGCACTCCTCTTCGACTTCTGACAAAACCTGGACCAGATGTTGATTCTCAAGCACTATGCCCAGGTGCCCGCCATCCGCCTCTGTCTTGATCATTTCATCAATTCCTTTCTAAGAGCGGCCAATAAAACCCGTCACGTGGGGGAAAAAACAAAGAAGTATCATAGGCATTTTTAATTGCAAAAAACAAAATCAACATCTATGTACATATATCAACAATAATAAATAAATGTGTTGCAGGTTTCAAAAAAATATGTGAAATATCTGTGAATGTGAGCACTTATACCTTGAGTGAACTGTTCTCCTCAACAGCCCGTTGTAAGCGAAGAACAGCGACCTCAATTTCAATGACCGCTTCCTTGTGTTCTTCGATTAGAGTGTTGATGTGGCTGTTCCACTGATCTTCTGTCTCACTGGCAATGTTTGTTCTAAAGTTGTGCAGCTGTTGTTGTAGCAGCTCCAACTTTTTATCATGTTCCGCTTCAATTTCTACTCAAATAGCGACACAAAAAAGGTTTTGATCTCTTGATCGCACAGTGTTGAATTCAACTTGAAGTTATATGATTTCTTTACCTGCATATTTCTTCTCCTCCCGGGTAATTGTTTTAGTCATTTCTTCCTTATGTTTCTATTGAAATAAAAACCAAAGTGTTGTTTCCAGCATTAAAGCTCAAATGTTGCATTATGTCAAGGTAAAGGGACATATTGAGTCCACAGATCTTGATGAAATAGTATTCACTACAAACCACTTCAAGCTCCTTCACAAGGGTTTCATTGTTGAGCTCTTGCATGTTGACTTTGACGGCCCTCATTTCCTTGTGAAGCTCAGTCTGTAATTGTTCTTGCTTTTCCTGCACTAGCTGTTTGGAGACTAAACCGTGTGCTTTCAACTCAGAGACTGCGTTCTGGTGCTCACACAGGAGGTGCTTCATCTTCTGCCTAAACACCTGGTGGAACAAAATGGTAAAATATGCAATACAAAATTGATTTATCCCTTATATCTAAATATTATACAAAAAAGGTTCCCTCTATTGACCGCAGTTAAAGATCCTTCTTACCTGTTCCAGCATATTATGGCATAAATTAAAGGTGGAAAGAATTTAGCGGTATAATTTGGGTGACGCTCAAATGTAACTAAAATACATGTGTATGAATCTTACCTTGATCTCTACTTGGTGGCGCCCCTCATCCTCCTCCATGTCCTTATCAAAGTTCTTCTTTTCAGCCTTGACCTCCTCTAGTTTACTGTCGGTGATTTCCCAAAATGTGTGGATCTTGTCCCTCTCCAGCTGAAAGTAGTTCCTCTCTTCCCTCTCTCTGTCCAGCTGCTCTCGAAGGCGCATGATGTGCTCCTCCAGCTGAAATACAAAAGGGTATTTTAGTGTGAGCGTTTGATCCAATCTAGATAAACATGTAGCCAATTACATTCATCCTGAGGGGACATCACACACATTGTAAATGTCAATGTATAATGTTGTCTGTGGCTCTGGAGGAAAGTCTGGGAATCGTTACAGATTCTACAAACCCGGCATGCGTGTTTGCTAAAAATAAGCTACACATCGCTTAGTAAAGTATTAGTCAGCTTTGGAAAAATAACGGGATTTAAGTTGCACTTTTTGAAGATCTCATATTTGTGTCTATTTCATTCTAGATTCATATCATTATATGAAAAGAGCTTTGCACATACAATGAGCCCAAAGTTGAGACATCTCAGCCTGATTTTGACCATTCTTATATATAAACCTGTCCCCTGTCCCCGGGGAGTCCTCCCAAGAGACAGTAAGTGCTGTAAGTGCAAAACCGGCTTGCTGGAATACCCATTTAATGGACAAATGGCTTTGAAAAGGAACATTTTCTTCTGCCCTGACATAAAATATCCAAAGCATGCCTCCACCTCCTTAATCTCCTACCTGCTCCTTGGACAGCTCGTCCTTGGTTAATCCATCTATCAGGGTGGGCGTTCTCGCCTTTGGAGGCTTTTTACTTGAGCCTTTGCCTTTGGGTGGCTGCACAAAAGTCAACAAAACATAACATCAATGCATTAGCGTATTTCTTTAATGTTGTTAGTTTGGGGAGGTAGCAACACAAAAGACCGCCTCCCGTGAAAGCAACGCTAATGCAACGCACGGGAAGCACAAACGGGAGTGACGATTAACGTTAAAGTTAACGGAAAATAAACTTCGTCAAATGAGTTTTTTTTTTTAAAGCTTCGCTCACCATCGTATATTTTAAGTATATAATACCGAGACGCGCGCTAGCACACACACAAGTCTGTAGCAGGCCTGCGGTTTCAAACATGCGTTGCCGTGGCAACACGACGAAGCGGCCGACACTTGGTCAAACACCCCCAGGGGGGCGTGCGCGTGACCGTGCGCGTGACCCTGGGAAACGCCACCTGGAGGATTTCAACCCGACAGTCAGTGTAACGTTCTTACTACAACGCTCGATTTCACGTTGTTTTATATTTCCTCGGTACTTAAGGAAAGTGTATTTTGTAATGACCTGTCCATGTGACGTATTGGTTTATTTAGGGACTGTGTGCAATAAATGCATTGCACCAGATGTAAACACAATCTGTGGTCACTGGGAGCATTTACTAGGCTTACATTTTTTGAACAGCGTTTTGCATTTATTAGGCAAAATGCACCTCAAAACACATCAATGTTGATCTTTAGTAGGATCAAGTCAATATCTACAAAGACAAGCCATGAATCAGACTTGGAAACCGATGACACAAGACAAATTCAGGTTACAACTAAGTCAAAATGCAAAAATGGACCAGTACAGAAATTTCCCTTGTTCAAAATATTTTTAAATTACTGTGCAAAAATGTACATATACTAAAAAATGTGTTAATACCACTTACCACATTTTTCCTTACTCGGGCCCCTCGTGTCCAAACCCGGTCTGTGCATTTCAGAGTGTGCATGCAGTCAAGTGCTGGAGGATAAATACAACTTTTGAACTCATTTAAAGTTCCAGCCATGACTCTCGAGACTTCCAGGCTTAAAAAGTAACACCAAAGACTGGATGGATTTTTTAATGCAGACATGCATGTTCCTGAGGTGAATCCTACTTTTGTTTGTGTTGGACTGTATAAAATTGCAAATTCTTTAAATCGTTTTTTGCTTCACAGTATACAAATGAGGTGGATATAATATTCAAAAGCTTTCATTTATTATTTATGGTAATCAAATAACTCATTAAAAAAGACAATTATGTACATTTCAGGCGTAAACTGTTCTCCTTGAAGGCCATAACAAAGTGGTTAAACATTGAGCATGGGGATGTCTAAGATGCCTTCACTCTCATCCAGAGTGTGGATGTGTTCTTGTTCAGACGGGAGTGGAGATCGATGGAGGGGAGAGAAACCTAAAGAGTAGAAGCAAACATGATTACAAATATCAATATGATTAGATATGTCAGAAATCAAGAATCAGAAACAATTTTCGCCAACGTATGTTAGATCTACAAGGAATTTGACATGATGGGTGGTGCATAACATTGGACAATAACGCATAGGACAACAAGTACATGAAAGTAATAAACAACAAGTAATAAAGTACGGTTACCTTCTGAGGCTAAAAGATTCTTGAGCAGCTCGGCATTCATTATTGCTACAAAATACATGGATACATTATACACCAGTAAAAGTTCAAACTCATACAAGTTTGTAAATATCGTCAATAATTCAGACACAAGGTAAAGCAAGAGCCATACATTACATTACATTACATGTCATTTAGCTGACGCTTTTATCCAAAGCGACGTACAATAAGTGCATTCAACCATAGGGTACAAACTCAGGAGAACAAGAAACAAGAAAGTGCAATTTCCTCAAATAAGCCAATTTACAATTTGCTATAGATGAGTGACGTTACAAGTACAATTTAAGTGCTACAATTTGTTAGTCTTTAGTCGAGGTAGAGTCTGAAGAGGTGTGTCTTTAGTTTGCGGCGGAAAATGTGAAGGCTCTCATACCTTTGGTTGGGCGTAGCAGGTCCTGCAGTTCTTTTGATAAATCTCGCACTGGAAAGAAAATAGATCAATGTAAAAGTCCTCATCAGTGACAGAAGCATTGGTGAGGCAAGAAAACAGGATTGGGTTAGTATGCAGGAAATACATTTATAAAGAAAGTATTTTTCATCTTAATGTGTAAGGGATCAAGTTCAAGCCAAAACGAGTATTTCAACCAAAAACACACCTCAGAAAATGTACAAACTCAAGTGCTCACATTCAGATGCATCCGTTCGGTTGGGCGCAGTGTTTGAACGCGACGACGACTGAAGGTGCAGCATGTCCTCCATGACCGTCCTTCGAGATTTGGCGGCACGTTTAATACTGCTTTCGGTCTCATCTGAAGTGGCCACTGCCGATTTGGCCTTCCGTAAAAGTTCTTTGGACGGAGGGACTGGCAGTACGACAGGGACGGAGTCGACAGTCAGTTTGTTGAGAAGTACAACATCTATCGGCCCATTGATGCTTTTCAGATAGATCTGATACTTTGTTGGGCAGTTCCGGACCTGAAAGAAGAAGTGTGCACATACTAAACCAGGAGAGCAAACAAACCACACTAGGTCCAAGTGATGCGGAACCTACAGCTTTGGGAATCGGCACGTCTAGTTTTGTTCCACATGGCGCTTGTATTGCCAAGAGAGTATCGCCTGAAGAAAGAAGAGAGTGAAAATACGTACAAACAATCACTGGTTCCTCTTTGTCACATACAAAAAAACAAAATGAAAAGTTGAAGAGAATGTTTTAATCTCGATGTTTTTGCATCAATCAGTGCAACTCAAAAGCTGCAGGAGGAAAATGTGCTGGGGAGATTTGTCAAAAAACGGGGCAAAGGTGTGTACGCTTCTCATCACCCTTCTGGTTTTTGATTATTTGCTCTATGGAAAACATGCAGACACAAGACGGAACGAAGGAATAAGCTTACCGCTAAAACAGTTGCAGATGTCGTCATGATTCACGTAGGTCAGAGTTGATTAGAGTCAAAGTTCATCTTGAAATACCATATTAAATCTGCTCAACATGATGTTGCACATCTCAATACCAGTTTTAACGAAACATGTTAAAGCAAGATAAGTCAAGTATTTGTAACAAATTCAATGGCAGCTACATCTTTGTAAAAAGGATATTCGCTGCAGTCTTCTTTTGTGCTCGTGGTGCTCTGTTCAACCCAGAATTTCTGCTGGTCCAACATACTTTCCTTTTGCTCCAAGTCCTTCAGCTCCGCCCTCAGCTCAATCACTCTGTTGGTGACCCTGAAAGCATGTTCTCCTGGCACTGTGCCGCTTGAAGAACAGATATATATTGTAATACATATTTGGCACCCTAATCTTTTACATATATCAATATTCAGATGCATGCACACTTGGCAAAATTAAAAATTAAATAATAACTTACTTCCACTTAATCATGCTCTTGGAGATTTTCACAATCAGACCAACGCCCTCCAAAACGTTTGTGATGTCGTAGATACGCCTTTTTTTCTCCACAGCCAACAGCTTAACAGCCTGAAACAATCATTTTTGTTTTAGAATTTAGCCTCCCATTTCTTATCCTTTGATAAGTAATGTTCACTCTACGATTCAAGTGTCTCAGCCAACACATTCAGGGGTCACAACCTAAATTAGCACCAACCATATCACTTAGTACACAGGTACAAATTTCTGATGCAGCTTCAAAAAACAACATCATAAAAATATAATAATTCCAAGTTAATTATCATATTTGAAAGTGCTCTGACCTGTCATTTTATTCATTGTCCAAATATAACTTACGTCTTTCAGGTCCAGCAAACCGTGTTCAGCGTCCTGTAGCAAGCCCACAAACCTCGTGGCGAGGATGTGAAGGCTCTTCAGACTTCTCCGGTTTTTGGGGATCTCGTCTGGCGAGGTGCTCTCCTCGTCTGGACTATGTGGGTTGCCGTCTAGGTCCATTGTCCTAAACGTGAGAGGAGATCAGATGAATCCCCTGAAGCTCCGTAATCTGTGATGTTTGAATGAGCTCCAGAGAACCCGCTTCACACGAACTATTTTTTCTTCAAAATAAAAGAAGTATCTGGATTAGCTATCGGATCCATTACTTGTAGCTGCTTGTGGTTTTGAAAAAGCTAAAGCTTGACAGCAAAACGGTTTTCGTAAAAAAAAAACACCTCACGTACTTATCGACTGTATCTTCATCACAGAAAGTTTCTCCCTTTGCCTACATTTATTGTGAAAAGTACCGGAACCCAGCATTTACTGTATCTTTTCCCACCTTTCAGAGCCAGCGTTAACTCCACTGTTGTTTCACAGCCTTTTATTCATTGCGCTTGAACACGCATACAAACATGCATACGAACATCTACATGACCTCCTGCACGGGAATACGTGAGAATAACGGTGTTTAACTCACGTGGATGGTGATGGTTCTTGTTTGCAGGTTACAGAGTTGCTGCCGACGTTACTAAGCAGTCCTGACCACGACAACTGAAAGTATTTAAATATATATAAATATATACCGGCCAAGGTATCAACTTTATCGGTGGTCCCGCCCTCCTCTGTCGTGGCGATAGGCGCGTTTTTTTTGTAGCAGCGGTTACATCCGCCTTCATAATAAAAGCCCAACTTTCAAGCCTCCACAATATAATCCTATCTCAGTACAATTATTAGACAAGTTAAAAACTGCACCCTAGCATTGATGTTAACTTCATTCTTGATTCGATATGTATTCCACACACTTTGCACTTTAAGGCTAGCCCAGTACAAGCCAGAGCTGTGTTGCCATTATGCATGTTAATCTCCTGTATTTTGTAATTAATTAAATGTCATATAGGTAACCAGGGTTTTGAAATGACATTGCTGGTGATTGAGGGACATCCCTAACAGAATTAGTAAAAGTAATGATGAATAATTTAATTTGAATCAAATTTAATTTTTAAAATGAGTTATTTATTTATAGGTGTTTACTGTTTAAAGTCGTTTCTATCAATTCTTGTTTCCAGTTTCCCTTTTCCGTATTTTTAATAATATATTAGCTAGAGATTGTACGTATACACTTAAATCCCAATATTTTGTCTTTTTTTTAAGTATCATGATTATATCGTACTGCTTTAGTATAAGTATGTTCCTCTGATTTTACCATGAATCCTTTCAACAAGTAGTTTATGAGATCCCCAAATGTTTTATTACAAAACAACGACGATGACTCAAAGCTCAAGTATCTGAGCTTCGTTGTCAGGCGCCGGTCACGTGGCTCACAGCAGCAGTCACATGACTTTCCGGCTGGTCTCGTTTACCCGGACCTGTTTTTGGGGGAAGTTACTGCACAGCACCCACGTCTGTTTGGTGTCGCTTCCAACACAAGTAGGTGACGTTAAATCGCAGCCATGTTCGCGGCCGGTTTGTTCGTGTGCTCGCTGGCCGCGTTTCAGGTCGTCTCCCGGGCTCAGTACGCCCCCGACGAGGTGACCCACCTGCCCGGTATGTCGTTCAAACCCAACTATCGACAGTGGTCGGGTCACCTGCAGGCGCGTCCCGGGAAGTTCCTCCACTATTGGTAAGGCCGGTGATGGCACTCTCGATGCGGCCCACGTAGTGCGCCTCTGTGCGGCCTTTAACTAAAGCGGCTCGCGGTCTCTCCGGCAGGTTTGTGACGTCGCAGAGGGACCCGGTTAAAGACCCCCTGGTGCTCTGGCTGAATGGAGGCCCGGGCTGCAGCTCGCTGGATGGATTCCTGTCGGAGAATGGACCGTTTCACGTGAGGAGGCTACAACTTTGTGCACTAAACCACAGGCGCACTGCACCTAATGATAATACGTTTGACCGAATAGGTGTTGTTGACCTTTTCAGGTGAATGACAACGGGGCCACAGTGTACGAGAACACGTTCAGCTGGAACAAGATTGCCAATGTGCTGTATGTAGAATCTCCTGCAGGAGTGGGATATTCTTACTCCGATGACAGAAAGTATGCCACCGATGATGACCAGGTGAGTTCAGTGAGCGAGTGGCTACCTTTCGAAGTAACAGACTCATTTAGAAACGCTACTTTCCATTTCACGTGTTGTTCTCATAGGTTGCTGACGATAATTACAAAGCCCTGCAGAGTTTCTTTGCCAAATTTCCAAATTTCACTCAAAATGAGTTCTTCATCTTTGGGGAAAGTTATGGTGGAATTTATGCACCGACCCTCAGCCTGCGTGTGGCTACTGGAGCTGCCAAAATCAACTTTAAGGTAAGAGGTTTCATGCAAACCGTTTGAAGCTATCTAGAATACATAAAGTGAGTATAATTGTGAGCTAGTTATCTCAGTATTTCCACTCTGTGCAACTTTACACTGCTCTACACTTCAGAGGAAAATGTATTGTTTTTTTGTTTGCCTACATTTATCTGACTACTCAATCAGTTAAGATTCAGATAAAAAAAACAATAGCTACTCACCAGATACACTTTGGTGTATTATGAAATAAGATTAATAGAATTCACAAGCTCTGTATCAACTTTAGCCCACCTATCCCATCTTCAGAATGAACACATTAATGAATCCATTAATAATTATAATGCAGTGATACAAAAATGAGAAGTTAAGCTTATGTTGATAGTCCCACTTTCCTATTTTTACATAATTCAAACTTGTATGACTTACTTGTATCTAAGTATTTCTACACTCACTTCTTGGTTATATTGCTGCTTTTAATAGTGGAATACTTCATCCATTTCTGGTGCAAAGTTCTCTTGACCTTCAAATGTTTTGCTCCTCAGCACCATCCCCTGCTCAGTATCAGTACCGCCACCACAACGCAGTTTGAGGACTGTCAAGCTGTTATTTTGTGTCCCTCAGAAAAACAACGTGTATTTGAACTATTAACATTTATATTGCGTTCATTTTTGTTTTTAGGGCTTTTCAGTGGGAAATGGTCTGAGCAGCTTTGAGCTCAATGACCAAAGTTTGATCTACTTTGGTTACTACCACGGCCTGTTTGGAGAAGAGTAAGTGGTACTTTGCAATGCCATCGGATGCTAGATGGTTCCCCTGCTTCTTTGAGCAATGAGCACGACATGCATGACATCCAGTTTAAAATAAATAGTATCAGCTTTATTTGCCATGTATGTGCATTCATGACAATTTACTTTAGTAGTTTTGACTGTGACAAACAAATAAATGTACAGTAACTGATGGGGTATGAATAGTTACAAGCTAGTGACAATAAGTCACGTGAATGTCATTTTCAAGCTCTGTTTTATGTGCAGTTTGTGGCGAGATCTGAACATAAATTGCTGTGACAAAGAAAGCTGTGATTTCTACAACACCAGCTCGGCGCAGTGCAATACGCTGGTACGTCGGCACCATTTCTTTACAAGTCTACTGGGCATTCCTGGTGCTACCTGGTGACTTTTACTTTGTACATGTCTCCCTTCAGGTGAATGTAGCCTTTGGTATTGTGTATAGTAGTGGGCTGAATGAGTATGCCCTCTACTTGGACTGCGAGGGTGGCAGACGATTCCACAGAGGCTACCAGAGGACCATGAGCCACCTGTTTACGAACAGCAGGAAACATCAGGACTCTCACAAGGTGAGCGCCGCTCGCCCATTCTCCTGTGCTTAGTTATTCTTGTCTCTTGTGGCAATAATGATAATCGTTTTGACAGAAGTTTTCAGATGGAGTGTCTCCCTCGGCGTCTGTGGGTGAAGTCCCGCCCTGCATCAACAGCACGGCTCAGCTGAACTGGCTGAACAGAGGCGACGTGAGGAAAGCTCTGCACATTCCAGACACGCTCCCACCATGGGACATCTGCAGGTAACCTCCAGCTAAACAGTTCATAGGATCTCCCAAATAAAATCGAAGGGAGCTGTGACTTGTTGTTGATGGTGTTGTTCCCTGTGAACATTGAATAGTTTTTGTTTTTTAAAAGAACAAAAATAAAGTACTAAATGTTCAACCTGCTGACGTGAAGAAGGTATGAATTCTCATCATGAGGAGGCATGAATTTATTGATGTAGCAGATTTTAATGTCAGTGCGTCCACTATCTATCCGGTCGGAAGTTCGGAACAAGTTAACCACGATCGCTATGGACTCTGAACCTTTTCTTTTATTGATAGCGATGTCGTCGGGGGTCAATACCGCAACCTGTACCCAACCGTTAAGGACGTGTACCTGAAACTGGTCTCCCTGGGTCTGCGTGCGCTCGTCTACAACGGAGACACCGACATGGCCTGCAACTTCATGGGGAGCCAGTGGTTTGTGGAACACCTCGGCCTGGAGGTAGGAACTTTCATTTCAGGAAAGCCTATAACAATGTTAAAAACTACAAGCGGATACACCTTTTGATACTACTGTAAATGAACGTTGTTCTCAGGCGACCGCTAATTACCAGACGTGGCTTCACGACAACCAGATCGCTGGTTTCTACGAGCAGTTTGGAAACATCACTTTCCTGACCGTCAAGGTAAACCCGGTGTGCTCGGCGTGAGCCGGGAGAACGCACGGCCGTCCTGTCGCACAGCGATGGCGTGGGGGTCGCATCGCAGCGTAATGCCGCTGTCCTCTGTTTCAGGGTGCAGGTCATATGGTTCCTCAGTGGGCTCCAGGTCCAGCCTTCCACATGTTCCAGTCTTTCATCACGAACAGCTCCTACTGAGCGGTGGAGGCTGCTGCAGGTAACAAACCTGCACTCGTCGCTCGATGGTACATTTTTCTCAGGGAAGAGGATTTTTAAGGGAAACTGTTATTCTCATTTTTATTGTGAAATGTGTATTTGAACGGAGATGTATTTGGTTGGATTATATATGAATGTAAGCTATTAAAGTGCCAACTTTGAGGAATTGAAATCCTTTTTATTGTTAATTTCTGAGGATCTCAAACAATTAGATTACATTTTTATGTGGCACTGATGTACGAATGTATCCAGGTGTTTTACATTGCGAGGGATAAATGGTGATTGTTCTAAACTTGAATGAAAAACTGCCTCAATCCAGACTAACTTTACTTTCATTAAATGTTTTGGACTGTCAGCATCACAATACTTGTAATTTATGCCCATACCTTGATTGTAGTTAGATTATTGAAATCCATTTAAGCCTTCGGGAAATTCATGTTTGTAGGGCAACTTTCTCTGTTACAACAGGGACACATGATTTTTAATTATCACAGTAATTAAATGTCATTGATGAAAAAACTCCACAACCTCTGTCTGAAACCTGTTACCACAAATCATAAATGCATCCGGCATTCACCAATGACCACATAAACTCTTGTCTGCAGCACCAAAAATAAAAATTCTAATTCCAACAAGACATTTTAATGAAACGTCTTATTTTTATATATAGATATTAATTCTCACAGCAAGCATTACTTGTTACTTTTACCTAGTTTCTGCTTCTAGAATATATGGTAAATGTTTCTAGTCCAACTAACAATATGACTTAATCCCTTCAACCTCAACTGCCCCTGGTCACCCGACATTGCTGGATTTCATAAAACCGATAATCAAAAGATTGCAGATAATGTCCCTTTAATCGCTTGCTTAATTTACCTGCTTGCTGTGGTTCTAAATACATTTAAAACCAAGACTTAAATCCATTCAGCTGAGTCCTAATCACATCCCTGCAAACATTTCCCTCCTTTAAAAGTGTCAGCTGTATTTGCAGAAAGACTAATTCAAAATAATTGATTGTTATTTGCATGTTTGATAAGATCTTGAACATTGTGGCATAAAAAAACAAAGCTTACACCTTTTAGTTTAAAAAAAACGCAAATAAATATTTAACCTCTAATTTGATCTTAAAGTTTGCAGTAGTGTGAAAGGATTCAAGTAAATAAACTGCAGCCTGAACACCAAGTCCAACTCTTTTGTTAGCTTTGCACAAACTGAACTCTGTATAGGTCACATACATGTTTGCATACATTCATTGCCAGTCTAATTCAACTCACTGTGCAGGTTTTCATACCCTGAATATGGAGGCGCTGCTGCCGTTGACACTTGGACGTATTCGTGGTGCATGCAGGCACGTTACCTTTTTGTACATTGCAGTAACCAACCGCATTAAAGGCCAGCAGGCTTAAATGTCTTTCGCTTTGTACTTTTACAAAACAACAAATAGGACTTCACCTACAAGCCAAGTATAAAATGATCGTAGCACTTTTATAGACTATAAGGAACCAACAAAACAAAACTAGCTCAAAAGCCTTCCTGAATTCATGGCCATAGAAAACCGTTGACTATCAAAGAATAAAAAATAAAAATAGAAAAACAAACCAGACTTGAACAGACTAACCGTGTCTTTAACACGGTCCTAGTGTTTGCAGACGTGTCAGTTTTGCATTGGGCAAAATTCTTAATATGCAGATGAATCATCATCAGCAGAGGCACCAAAGTCTGACCCTGGATCAGACCCGGGAACCACATGTCATTTGCAATAAACATTTACTTTGACATGTAAGTTGAAATATACAAACTGCTACAATTTCATTAATAAAATCCATTTGATTGTAAGAGCTTTGTGTGCCGTCCTCCAGCTCTTGTAAACAGGAAGGGAATATGTCGCCTGTACAGGTTCCAGAGACCAGGGAAACTCCTCAAACCACCAGAGACTGTTTCTTAGAAAAAATGAGTTCCATAAAAGCCCAACATGCGATTAAAACTTGACGTAAAATAAAATTCAAAGTGTCTGAAGTCATTTGGCATTCTGTCTCTTACTGCTACCTGATTGAATAAAGAGCTGTGGAGCTTTTACTCGGTATAGAGCAGGAACGTGACATGATGCAGAGGATCTTTTTGAATGAGTGTCATGAGATTATTCTCCATCTTTTGCAGTAGTTCAGAATTTCAGCACGAGACTGAGAACTGTTCCTTTTAGCTGATGATGTCTTGATAGATGGAGTTAGTTGTGGTGAGGCCAAAGATGAATGCGCCCATCGTGACCATGACAACACCGAAGACCACCGATCCATGCCAGCTGTAACAGAGACAGACGTGAAACAGAAGGCTTTATCAGTAATTAAGTTTACTTTAAATGGTATCAACAGAAAATCAAATGTCAACCATGTGGAGGTGTCGCTCACAGTTCCAAACCGAAGAACATTGTCTAAAGATTTGCAAATAACTATTGGATTAATCTGCAGATCTTTTCAATAATTAATAAAACCCCTACAATATTCAGTTAAAATGTATAAAACGGGAGCCGGAGACTATAGATACTTTAAATCTGGTCCGACATATCAAATGTGGAATGTTTTAAACTGTAGATTTTTATTTGCTTAATTGACATTATCAAAATAATTTCAGGTTACATTTTTTATCTCATCTTTTTGGTTCCTAGCAAACACGCTCCGATACACAGCACACTTGCGTTGGCTTGTTTTAAGGACATTGTTGCCATGTTACACAATATAATTGAACCAATTTGGAGCAAAGAAATTGAAAGACTTGCAGACATAAGCAATCTCACCTTGCAGTTCGGCTCGCTGTCTCTGACAGCTTGGCTTGCATCAAACACAAACCTGGTAAAGAGACGTGGGACAAGGACGTTACAGTGTGACATTAACGACTGACCAAAATCTGAAATCTTACAAATCAATGGAGGGAAATGTTACCTGGGAAGACGAAGATAAAGCAAGCTGCCAATCCTCCAATCAGAGAGATCACCCGACCAATATCTGGGATGAAGAGAGCGAGGACGAGCGTGACGACAAACCACACCAGCGTCTGCAGGATCCGCCTCCTCTGCTCACGACGCACACACACCTCCACCTGCTCGCCTTGGAAGCGCAGCCAGAGTCCTTCTAGAACTGCCCTGGAAGGACACAACATTACACCAGAGTGGTGAATCTCCACTAGAAAAGGTGCAAAACTGACAGGCACACGGTGCGACCAACCGGCGGATCCGAGGCGTGAAATTAAGAGCAAAATCTTACCTGCCACAGAAGTGTAAAATGGGGTAGGAGGTGATGACACAGATGACAATAAAAGCTCTGGCGATGGCCACAGCGACATCGTCAGAAGGGTACGACATCAACACGTCCTGATTGACATTGGAGCCGAACGTCAGGAAGCCACAGATGCCTGGTCAAACACAACAATCATTCAAGTATTGAGACGTGTTAAAGATCAGAAAATACGCCACAACGAGACAGGATGACCAAGGAAGTGGATGTTTACTAAGACTGTATAAGGGTATTAGGTACATGTTTGAGTGCAGGTACATTACCTGTTCCTGTGTACACAAAGAGGCAGATTATCATGCTAAAAGTTACTACGACGCCCCACGGTTTGATCGCTTTTCTGCTCATGCTGTTGAACACCGGCACGCAGCTGACGTGGCACTGTGGATCAGGTGGAAAGTGAGAAAAAAATAATTCATCAATACCAAACTCGGTTTGAAACAAAAGGCATTTAGGTTTGTGATCTCAAATGATGAATTAAATGACACAAGTGAAGAGATACCTGGAAGCCAAAGCAAATGGTCGGCATTGCGTTGAAAACTGCAGTCCAGGAGGCAGAACTGTAACAAACACAAAAACGATTTAAGAACTCAAGCAAAGCATGACAACAACAACGCAGAGGTTTCTGCTTGAATGAGTACAGCGCTAAAGTAAGAACATTTGGAAAATTTGAAAAATGTCATCCAGCGTGTGCAGACTCACCTGGCAGAAACGGGACTCGGAGTCATATTTTTATCTGGGAAGATGTACTTTATAATGACCACGATGGTCACATACCAGGTTCCAATCACACTGAGTGCACTACAAAGAAGAAACAACAAGCCAGACATGATCGTCATTCCGTGCAAACGAAAGGGAACATTAACCGACAACGGAGGGAAAATAAGTTGAGCTAGTGACAACGTCTTGTACCTGGCATACTTCTGAAAGCCAATCTCTTTGGGGATGGAGAGAGGAAGGACGAACAGCACCGCGGTAACAGAGATGGTAAACTTGCGGTCAGTGTACCAGTGGTCAGTGGTATCATCTGTGTCATGAGCCATCGCTGCCACCACTGAAACAAAAAAACAGGAATCACCAGACGGAAATGTAGCGTAACCTGCTGTGCACGTGGAGGATACTTAGCTAAGCAGATAATTAACGTCACATGCCTTCACTTTATTCACTTATTCATTAAATAGGGTTAGACATTTTTACGTTTATTTCTTCATAAACCTTAAGACGCAATTTCACAGGTCGCAGTTGGCGTTTAGAAATCCAGATTTACACGGACTTTATCCTCCGTTAAACTGTGAGCTGTGTGCTGGAGCAAAGGAAGATGTCTGGTGGCAGAAGCAGCGCGTTGCTGTGCCGTCATTGATGAGGGCAAAGAGCATCGAGGACGACGCCACTCAGCTTTTTCTATCATGTGACGGTCATGTGACAAACCAAGCCTTACACAGACTCGCACCCAGACGCTGACTATGTAGAAGTTGTCCTCCCGCCTGTATCTGGAAATACACTGTGACCTTCCACCCTATCGGATTAATCAAGAGAGGGCAGCTTTGTGAGTGATTCACTTTTGAGGTGTGAACAGACTTACAGCGATCCAGCTGGTCTCCAATGACGATGAAGAAGGCGATACAAGTCCCGAAGGTGTAGACGGCAATGGCGACTTCACACGCGATTCCTGTTACTTTCCCACAAGTGGCTCTGACGACCTCCTGATAGGAGCTTTCATTACTGACCTGAAGAAAGCAGACAGATGATAAAAAAAAAAAAAGATGACGTGGATTCCGTGGATTTTTAAAAGTATATGGATGGATTTGTTCCGTGGTAAACATGCAGCCTGAGCCTCACTGCCGTGTGCGATTGTGTGTGGTTTCAGGCATGACATTGAGTATAAAGCTATGGTTTTAATCCGTAGAGTAAATCATGATGTCGGCGATCTCATGAAACGAAATCATTTATGACTCATTTCATCCTCAAGCTTTAACAGATTTACACTGGACTCGTTCTCAATGGGGTTCAACACTCAGCACAAGTCTGGCCCGGCAGGAAGTGGAAGTCTGAGCTGTTGTGTAATAGTTTTCAAGAATACAAACAGCACGTTGTTGCAAAAGGCAAATGCGGGAAAAACACCAATGAGAAAGAAAAGTAGTCCGATATGAATGGAACATGTGGGAAATTAATAAATCCTGATATAGTTGATTCTGTGGCACATACCTGGGAGCAGTAGCCCAGGATCACCAGTCCACAGATTATGAAGATCAGCATGAACTGAAAGAAACAGGAAGCAATGTGTTTTAGTTCCCGATACATTTTCTCCATAGGCAGTGTTTCATTTTGGAATGCAATTTATACTATCAAACAGGAATCTTAAGCACCAGTTTTGTCCCTTTGTATTTTCTTAACGCTCTCTTTATGTTCAATGGGGTTATAGGTCGGTGGGCATAGTAAGCAATCAAATCACCATCGCTAAAAACTCTTTTGCCTCTCGATATGTCTGATTATCATTTGTCTTTACATCTTCCCTGCTATCACAGGCTGCATTACAGTGAATCTAACGGTTTACCCACTCAGTCCATCGATCAACAACACTAATTGTCATTTATTATGAATTTTGTGTTGTGAGAGCGCCAACAGTTAACACAACCTTCTAAATATCCACGTTGTGGTATTTGGTTGAAAATGTTGCGGTATTTGGGGAAAGGGGATTATGTCCTAGTGATGAGCGCCTCCCGGGGCTCTCCTCACCATTTGAAGCATGACTCCTGCAGTCACTCCTCCGGCCAGGTTGAAGGCGGCAGGGAAGTTGAGCAGACCCGCTCCCAGTGCCGCGTTAACCACGATGAAGACCGCCGCCCAAGACGACACGCCCCGGCTCCTTTCTGCCTCAAGTTGCCGGACGGAATCCACGCTGGGGCTCTGCAGGAGCCACGCTCGTTCTCCTGGGTCGTTGCTGCCCACGCCGCCCCAGTCCTCCACATCCGTGTTGATGGCCATGACTCTCGGGCCTACCAAGTCTTATGCAACCCGGAAAAATGGGTCTCCAACTCTCAGGGATCCAATTTGGATCAGAACACCCCAGAATCTTCAATACCAAAGCAGTCGGGAGCCAGATGATGCGTCTCAAACGTTACTGCTTAGTTTGATGGTGGAGCCGGTCGTAGATCTGTAATGAAACAAACAATGAAACAACACAAAGTGACCACTTATCAATGTCTCGATGGGGCACATGAGTTTCCATCTCATCTTCTACTGACAATCAATGAAGCACATACTTAGGACCAAGAGATACGAGGTCATGAAGCACTTGCACTCACAAGCGTGAGTGACAAACAAAACGAGACGGCTCTTCAATTTAACTTAGTGAAGAAAACACGTCCAGCAGCCGGACAAGAAGTATGCAGAACAAGTAAAACGAAGATCGCTGCGGATGGTGAACCGCTTCACAGGGACCTTCAGGAGATGCTGGTCAAACACCGCAGGCTGCAATGCGATCAGACCATCGCTCAGCTTTTCATTAACAGAACAATAACATGTGCCAACGCAGTCAGTCCCTTTGTTGCTCTGTGGACGGACAACAGCTAGCTAGCAAACGTTACGGCGAACCTCCGCGGAACACAAAAGAGGAATAAATTAACGTTACACTTTATCCAAACTGATCCACGCGCTCAGAAGTCTCGACGTGACGCGTATTTACCGTTTGGCGACGTGTCGGAGATGAAACAGTGATAATGAGGCGCTGTACCTTCGGCTCCAGTCTCCGGGTCGGGAGTGTTTTTGATTTGGGAGCACATATAAAGCAGCAGGTCACGTGACGCTGTCACCTGACCGGACTCATGAGATTTTGTTCCGGTTTGGATTTATGGGTAATGTAGTTCTCTCCCTCTCTCTCCATTGACGTTCATCTCCAATGACACGGGGGCAAATAGTTTATTTTGTGTACGAACATTTCAAAACGAATGTATATGAAGTCGCGTGAGATGTTTTAGCAGTTGACAGCATTAGTTAAGTGTCTGAGGAACATTCTGCCGCGTTGCCTCATCTTCAGGCCCAGTTGGTATGGGGGAGAAATAATGCAGGTCTAATGTACCTGCGATCTCGAGGACCCCACGAATAAGAAGAAAATCATTTAAAAATATGTAATCATTATGGTGATTTTAATCTCAGATGAGCAGGACCTCGAATTGTATTTCTAGTTCAATAAATATAACGTGCAGTGTAGATTTAAAATACTGAATTAAAATGAGCAAGATGTCGGCACATAGAGATGGAAAGGTGGATAAGTGGACAGAAAGGGATATCCTTAACGGACCACACACACACACACTTAAAATAAAGGCACATTAGCAGGGATCATTCTTCTATGACCATTTATTGTTTCTTCAATAAGATTAATGGATGACAGAATGCAAACAGGGAGGCGTAATGCCAGAGGTTTCAGAAGTATGAGACGGATGGGGGTGAAACCCCACAGATTTATACACTGTACACATACACGTGATGTCTGAGTGAATGAGCAGTAGGTGTGTATTCATCCATCAACTGTCTGAAATTCATCAGGATCACTTAATCCACTCATTTCTATCATACACACAAAGACAGCATGATGAAAATACAACTTTTAACAATGGGGCTTTGAATTTGGGGCCTTTTCATTCAGAGTATTGATTGGCTTGTGTGCTCGCTTGTATCAGGCGTTTAAAAAGGGACTGTCGCCACGACAATAGAAGGGCGAACGATGGGAAGGTCCCCAACAAAGAACGGAGTAAATTACTGGACAATTGATTAGTTCAGACTGACCACTGCAGATTAGCATGATAGTAAATTGGTTCCCTGATTATCAAATTAAAACACAATGCTGGTCTAATCTCAAAACGTTAACAGTGCCTTTCAACTTAAAGTGCTACAACTCCACCATTTTTCAACTAGTGCATAAAATGCATGCACAGTCCAAGATTACCGCCATGTTGTTTCCTGGATGTTTTATGGCGAGTGGGCCCGCTGCAGATAACAGCACACATTTAGGAGGACGCCAATGCACAGCAGTGTCGATGCCACATAATAAATAAGCAAAGATGGTCAGTGGGGGGATAAACTGCCTTTTACAATCTGGGGAGTCTGTTCAGTTAAATGTAAACAGAAAAAATCCAAAGAAACTTGCTCATTTTGATAGCGGCAAGTTGAACTCATGAGGAAATCCAATTAAGAAAATTTCAAACTAAACACGGAGCTCTTTTCTAGACGATGAATAAGTGACTCGCAATGCTCCTCGTTAACTCTGCTGCTTTGATTATGTAGCTCTCCCAGCAGGATCCGCTCTACTTGGTGACGGCATGGATCCCATGTGCCAGGTAGCCCACATTCGCAGAGGTCACCCCTGCCATGGAAATTCTGCCATCCTTTGTCATGTACACGGAAAACTCCTTTGTCAGGCGCTCAACCTGCAGGAAGAATATGAATTAACAGACAAGCATGTCAGTAATTTAACAAACATTTCCACTGATAACTAGTAAACATCTGAAGATTGGAGCATGAACTGTTTTCTAAATCCAATGAGGTTTTGTAGCTTATTTTTAAATCCGCACTGACTAACTAATTTTTGTAGGTTCTGATGTGGAATTATTGATAAACGCAAATTTGTGTTTGCCCTAACATTACATGAAAAGTTCTGAAATGTAAAATATATTTCTCATTCCAACTTAAGAATTAAAATATAAAACTGCTTGAACAAAACGTACACTGTATTTAGACTAATATAGCAGCTGTTTATAATGAGACATTTGTAAAGTACCTTTTGGATTGATTTTCAATTTAACAGCAGAGCAAGGCGTGAGATCACAAAGCACCTCCAAGTGCTTTTATTCCCACATTATGTATAGTTTGTTCAATCCTTACTAAAATTGAAGTGTAAAAATAATAATTTGCCATTAAACAGGAGGTTATGTGCTCAGCGGTTTCTTGGTGCGCACACACACACGCACACGCACACGCACGTCGGTGTGTCTGTACCTGTTCTGGTTTAAGGCCTGTGAAGCAAAACATCCCAATCTGGTCGATGACGTGCTGCCAGTTGTGAGAGGAGCCCTCCTTTTTCAGACCCGCCACCAGCTGTTCTCTCATCTTTATGATGCGGTTGGCCATGAAATGAACCTCCTCCAGCCTGGAACAAATGACACCAGAGCCAACAGTTTAAAGACTCTGGATCAAAATGCATTAGCAAGAATTTAAGAGTTTTTTGCAAATATCCAAACTACAGGTCCAGTTTAGTTAATGTTATTTGTCCATATGTCTACAAACACATACCACAGTGAGCGCAGATCTGGTGTATTGAGAATGGTCGCTGCAATTCTGGCGCCGTTCATTGGCGGGTTGGAGTAAATGGGCCTGATGAGGATCTTCAGCTGAGACTCCACTCGCTTTGCCTCCTCGGTGTCGTTACACACTACAGTGAAGCCGCCCACACGCTCACCTGTAAGCGTCAACATCAAGTTAAATTTAAAACAAACAATACAATGAAGGACACGCTAAATCTTTATGTTCAAAAGAAAGAACATCCTCTTGTAATTTTGAAACTAGAAAGTTTCATTGTAGTTCATTAAAGTCAGTAAAAGGAATAGTAACAGGGTTCTTGCCCCATTTCAAAAGTAAAATTTAATGCTTTTTAAGACCTCAACAAATATAATTTAAGACTCAAAAATGTCACAATTTCTTTGGAATACGCAATTCATTGCATCCTACAATGGAAATCAAAACTTATTTTCAAATTAGGAGACAGTATAATAACCCTTCCAAAACGGTTTGGCCAATATAGATGTAAACAATCAGTGATTCCTTTGTGATGCAGAACAGAGCCAACATAACATACATATGTTTGGATTACACCAAACACCACAATGCATTGCGAATCGGGGAGCATGGCAGCAAAGACGCCACGTTTGTCATCATTAGATTTAAATGAATTGTGCCTCGTCACAGTATATAGAACCCACAGTACCTCTGCCTTTTGGGTGTCTGGTGCTAAAATGAAACTTGTTACAGCCGACTGAGGTGGCGTCTGAACTTGTAACGTCGTTAGGTCGTGCTGCAAACAATGCAGGGATTAACCCGGCCCCGCTATGGCTGGTTGCTGCAACGTATCGCTGGTGCTTTCCTCCTTTCATGTGCGACTCGACGGCTTTGAGCCCCATGGTCCCTAATGAAAAGGTCTTTTTGCATAGTTTACACATTGCCCCATTGTTTTCAACCGGCGCCAACCACCTCCTAAATGCGTCCTCTTCCATCCACTTGTCGTTAAATTTGCACTTCCCCATCTTTGCATTTTCAACCTCACATCGACAACCGCGTAATGGCGACACGCAGCCTGACGTCAGCGTCTGTAGCTGACGTACCGTAAACAGCGATTCAATTGCGGAGACTCATTTCGCACAATACTAAATTAATCAACTATTAGGTGTTTTACGATGCGCCTCTGTGCTTTCTCGTCGTCATTAAGCGCACCGGCAAAAAAATTAATACCTACAGCAACTTTACGTGAAATTTAAGACCTTAATTACGCGAATTTTAATTTAAGACATTAAGACTTTAAGGACCCGCGGGAACCCTGAGAAAGGTAAAAAGCTGTCAACTACTTTATAAACCTAGTGAATAGTAACTATTACTGTCAAATTTCAGCTCTCAAAATTACATTTCATCTAAATGATAACTGACTGTCAATGTGACTTATTGATACGGTCAGTAAACATTACCAAACCAAACGGTAAAAACACTTTGCTCCTAATAAGTGTTTACTTCTTGGCTGCTTAAGGGAATGAGGAATCCAACAAAGCTGCCTAATATAGTGCAACTTTACTTAGTATGGCTGCATATTTGAATAGATCCTACTTCACCATCTATTTTTCTCCACTTGGTGGTGGTAAAACACACTAGATTCCAAAGATTGGCATTTGGACTTTACAACATTTTCCAGCATCACCAGTTTTATATAATTTCTGTGCTGTTCCAAGCGGCACTCACTTTCACCAATGTTGATTTAAGAGCATGTGGTGAATTCTGACTGACCATAGAGCCCCATGTTCTTGGCAAAGGACTGGGACAGCAGGATGTTGTGGCCCTGCTCGATGAAGTAGCGCACAGCCCAGGCATCACGATCGATGTCTCCACTCGCAAAGCCCTGGTAGGCCATGTCGAAAAACACCAGCAAGTTCCTTTTCTATGGAGGTGAAAAAGCAAGAGGCAGAACAGGATCGAGATATGCAGATAGAGAATTAAATATTCATAATTCAAGTGATTAGTTTGATTAAGTGTGGTACTTATCGATAGCGGCATTCAAACTCCAAAAAAGATGAAGAAAGTGTTGTAACCACACAGTGCATTTCACCTAATGATTCACGCTCACCTTCACAAGGTCAGAAATCTCCTTCCACTGCTCAGGCTTGGGGTCCACACCGGTGGGGTTGTGGGCACAAGCATGCAGCATGATCACACTCTGCTCCGGGATTTTCTGAGACATAAAAAAAAAGAAAAAAAAAGAAAAAGGTTTGAGTTAACCTACAATATGTAGACCTATAACAGATTACAGTATTGACTCCACCCAGAATCGGCTCGACAATGGGCCTCTGCCCCGTGTCAACAGACTCCCTTCATAATAATTTCCTTTTAAACAACATAATTCTAGTGTTTATTACATAAGTATTGTATAAGTACAAATACACCGAAAAAATATATATACTACAGATCTAGTAAGACTGAACTCCGAGGAAACACTGTACTGTGAACTTAAGTTTATAGTTTGACTTTTAAAAAGGTTATTTTCACACTATACTACTAAACATTTTACATACTAAACTGTTAATATATTATTCAATTTGTGCTTAAAAAAAAGAGCAAGTAAAGTATCGGTTCGGGCACGGTTTAAATGACAGCCATCCCTACTCATGACGAGTCCACAATTAAAATCTTACAGAGATGTCGTCGAGAGCTCCCTTGAAGTCAAAGCCGCAGGTGGACGGGTCGTAGTATCTGTACGCCTTGAGCTGCATGCCGGCGTCTCTAAAGATGGGCGTGTGGTTTCCCCAGGACGGCTTGGGCAGGTACACGTCACGCGGACCTCCGTGGAATCGAGCCTGGGACGAAAGAAAGTCCCGGTAAGATAACCTAGCTAACCACATGTGTTATTGTGTGAAAATGATCAACACAAGGGGACCGCACCAAAAAGTTGGCTCCGATGCGCAGGGATCCAGTTCCTGAGATGGTCTGGACAGTGATGTTCTGTTTGGAGAAGAAGAAAGCTGCTGCTAAGATTGGGGCTAAATACTGCCAGAGCCCATTTCAACAGAATTTTGTTTTGATCAAACCAACTTACCCTGCTGCTCTTCAAGACTTCACTATCAGCACCAAGAGCGAGTTGGGCGCAGCACTTTGAGAAGTCTCCTAAACCCCCAATGGGAAGGTACTCCTTATCCATGTGTTTGGCAGTGATGAGCTCCTCTGCCTGAAGGGGAAAAATGACAATCAAAATGGTATAAATAGCTCATACTATTAAATGTAATATTCATTTACTAAACTGGTAGTCCCTTTAGCTCAAATTGTATCACATGCAAGTGACCGGAGACAATCGCAGCATTAGTAGAATCACTGCCAGTGACACAAACCTTGCGGACGCAGCTGAGCACAAAGGGCTTGCCGTGGTCATCCCTGTAGGCGCCGACTCCCAGATTCATCTTCTTGGGGTTGGTGTCCCTCTTGAATGCCTCTGTCACCCCCAGGATGGGATCGGGGGGACCCATCTGCACTCCACCCCACCATGAGCTGCAAGGACATCAAATGAAATAACGAGTGATGAGGCGAACATTAAAGGAGTTCTTCTGCACTGAAAAACAGCTTTTCCACTCAAGATGCGACACCAGTCCCACTAATATGATACAAGACTTGGGCTTGATCCTGTTGACCGAATGCTCGAGCTCAACTCCTCATGTGACCGGACTGAGGCAAAGACTTATGAACGACACATGGTCAATGGGCAAGTTTAGTGAAACAACCATAATCCATTTAGAGGGTTAAAAGTCCACAGAGTAACTGTTAATACCCGTCTGAAACACAAACAAACTCTTGTTCGCCACGTCCATCCCACCAAAAGAAACTATTTTGCTATGAACATTCATGAGAATACAAAAATGTTTTCTTCCTTTGCTTGAGTTAATCTTTTTTTAAATGTTTAATTTATATGGCTTGTTAATTTTAGTATTTAGATTAGTTTAGTTTTATTCATTGGTCTCACAAAATATTCGTAACCCAGTCTTTAACATACTGAACATTTTTTTTTTTCCTCATTTAAGGACTCAATAAAATATAATGTCAAGTTTCAACAGTCCTACCACTTATGCACGTATGCATTTAACATGCTGCTCTAATATGAAACAAAATTATTTAAAAGCAGAAGAAATTATTTGCACATCATTTACAAACTCAACATTAAGTAAACGCTTTAGATTTGAATGAAGGAACCAAATCAAGGAGATTACTAGTCTGTGAAAATGGAAATATCTTGTGTAATGAGGTAGTACATAACAGCATAATAAATGCTTTATTGTCAATTAAGTTTGCACATGGAAGGAATTTAAACTAAATGTCTAGATACAGCTTTGAGGGTGTCAGGTTAAACAAGAAAAACGGGCACAGGACCACAGGCCCTCCATCGCGGTCTCTATAAAACATGCCACTTTCTGCGTAGTAGATTGCAGGCAGATAAATTGTGTCCACAGCTGCTTAATGAATGACAGTTGTGTGTGTTGGGACCTGAACTATACCGCTTCTCACAGATTGTCTCAGGTTTCCTATACTTTTTAAACCCTTTTAAACGTGTGGCTAAATTTAGGACGGAACACTCTGCAAAGGGCAAGAGTCTCCAAACCACTACTAAGAATACATTTTAAAAAAAAGATCACATGTGTTTATTAAATAGTCACTACAGTTCACTGACAAACATTTATTGCAAGAAAATAAAGTGAACTGGTTGAAGGGGGAAATGGTCATTCAATTAATTTCTTTTAAGTTTGTAAATTAATAGAATATAGGTGGAGGCTTCAAATAATTTTTAATAAGAATTGGAAATTGATTTAATAGATTGTCACCATTACTTTACCCTGCAGTTAGTTTCGGCCAGTGTCCCCATTTTCCACTCAAACCCAAGTGTACATAGTGAATCATACTGAAAGGGGCATTTGGGTTCAAGCTTCCTCATTCTGTACGAAAAACTGAACCTTTGAGCAGCTGAACTTCAGGGTTTATATAAACATCACATCGATAGACAAGTCAGCAGTGATCAATAGTCCAAAGTAGTCGACAAGCTACAGTGTAGCATTGTTGAGCATAAAAGGTGAAATGTCTAACATAAGTGCTTACGGGACGCCGGCTATTGTCATTTATGTATTTGTTTAAACCAGACCAATGCGCGTTGGACGTGACAGGATAAGAGCTGCAATCAGAAACACACCCAGGCAGACAGAAATAAGCTAGCAACGAAACTTGGGTACTCTTCTTTTGCACCCTGATGAGACGGAACAAAGAGCAAGACACGTACATTACTCCAATGCAACTGTACGTTTAGAAACACAAAAAGCGACATAAAAAATGAATATTAAAAAAAAAGGTGCATCTGCAGTTTGCCCTCCAAGCAGATGCTGAAAGGGCATCGCCGACTATCCGTTTCAAGGCTGGAAATGAGCCAATCGGCGATAAAAGGCGGAACAGTGCAGCCAATCAACTCGCACGACTTCAACTACGACAAGTCGCTTGGCCCAAACTGCGTGGGATTGGACGGCTTAGCCTTAAACCATCGCGAAAGCAAAACATAAGGAAGAAAGTTGTAGAAAACGCAAAGAGCAAAAATACAGCCACCCAACGTGACATTAGATCATGAACAAGTCATCGCAACGAACAGAACCGCTCGGGTTTTTCTTTTTTTACACTTTCAGAGCAACGACTTCGTAAATGCAACTTTGGCTGCTGACAAATAAACGTGACTTTCATCAGCAGCGAGCTTCACTGATAGCAACACCGGGTCCCCCCCGGAGGTCAAGTTAATGTTGGTCGGAGAGGATGTATAGCACAACAGGTGTTGTGACCGGGGAGGTTCATCGACTCATAAAACCGGAACGCAGTGGTCGACAGTGACGTTTAACTACCTACAAATGCACAATGACGTTAGCTCTCGCACCAGGAGCTAACCGTCGGTAGCGCATCGCGGCCTATTGAAATCATTTGACCCCTATACGTGCGTTAGCTTTCCAGCTAGTACGGCTAAAGTAATCACAGAACAGCGACGCGTCGATATCAATCGAGTGGCTCATAAACCCGTTGAACTTCAAAAAACGGCTTGTCAGCTGGTTACGCTAAAGCTAGCTTTAAAACGAACAGGCACGCCGCTAGACGGCCGAGCCTAGTTTCATCTGCACACTACGTCCATTAGCTTTTTATAGCATCTTATTGCGGTTTACCTGTTGCGGGTGGAGAGGACTCCCAGGGACGGGGAAATGTTCCCCAGGCAGTAGATCACCTTATTGGACTTGAGCAGGGCCATCGTTCGTGCTGCGTTTGGGTGCAGAGGTTCGAAGGATGTGGACGGACGTGAAGGGCAGCCACGATCACGACGCTGAGTTACGCGCTGACGTCAGAGACCGACACGCAGCAGACGCGAGGTTATAAAGGCACCGTTAATCGCGCGCGAGTGGACACACACACATGAATCCACATGTCAATCAAATCGTTGCACTTTAAATTATTCAGAACAATCACTAATGGCAAAAGCCAGATGGACAAACACAGAGTATTTACCCAAGAAGATAATATTCTACCGTAGAAAAGATACCAATTGTTATAAATTAATACATCGCTAACTCAGGCCATTCCTATATGCCATGGACAAGTTAGAAAACAACTAAATATAGCTTAAATTATTCAGGAAAAGAATACTTATAACCATTGTGTACCTTTGAAGGTCATAAAGTAGAAACTAAAAAGTTTGGCATACATAGAGATAGAAAAGTCAATTCGTAACTACATACATCAATCTTGAAATGTCAATATTAATCTCCCTTTAAACATCAAAGCACCAAAAATGCATCCATGTTTTCCGTTGTTTTTGAGTAAATATGTAAATAAAAGAAGTTGCATGGATTCATGGTATTTAACCCGTGGATCCAAATTTCCTCTTGTCTTTTATTGAGTAAACATAGTGTATGCTTTCTCTCAACTATATATCATCAACTTGAATAAACAAGAACACAAGCTATTAACGTGAGAGAGATGATGGAATGTATTTTTAATGACCATATATCTAAACTTTATTGTCATGTCTGCTTTAAAGCCGGTGGATATGCTCCTGAAAGTTTGCTGTCATGTGACGCACCGCTTTAAAGGTGATCTTTACTTTTCTTAGGCTGGGGGACATTTCATTGCGGAACAAAATGGTTATATCTGTTACCTGTGTAACACAACAGACTTCAAACTGCATCATGTACCTTTGGAGCTGTATCTGCTTTTAATGCTAGTCCATGTTTTTAATCTGAGATTTTGATTATTTGATGCCAAGACGACATCCCACCTTCATGTAGATCGGATTTAAATGTCGATGGTGCATCGCTTGAAAATTAAATGCCAAATTGAACTTGACCCACTGCAGAAAAAAAATAGTTTGGACCAAAAGACAACTGTCTACGGTACATTATTCCTACCCGAGCACTGGTACCTTCATCCTCCCACCAGATGGAGTCCTTCTCTACATTTTGCTCTCACTGTTCCTTGTGTTGAAGCTTCACTATAAAATAAATTGACAAGAAGAGCAAGCTCACTGTCCCGCCGTCTGTGCAGAAGGAACATCGACATGGATACCATCAGAACATGAATCTCTGTGAAACATTCTCTTGCAACTAGACAGACTCAGACTCACTGTCACCCCAACAGAGTGCAGAATTGGACAAACACTGGGCTTACATGAGGTTCTGCAAGTGCACAAAGGATATATGGTTTCCAACAGTGCAATCATGTCAGAGAGAAACATTCATATATGCAATTTTTTAAAACAAATTAGTTGAGGAACAGAGATCAAAACATTCCCTTTAAAGTTTATTTTGACCAATGCGGCAAATCCGTATTATTTATATCATTGTTTCCTTAAAACTGTCTGTTTTAGTTGTATGGTTTTGCAGCTCAATCCTTCAACATTTCTCCTTTAACTGCTTTGTGGAAAGAAACGGATGACAGCAAAATAACAAGAGCAATTGGAGGTTGAGGAACCGAGCAAACAGAGCTGAGCAGGGAGAAGTATTAAAATGAAAGAGCAGCAGAAAAAGAATTAAGACTGATAAGAGAGAAGTTTTACTGACAGTAATGCTGAGAAACGTCTCACAGCTTAACTTGTGCTTGAACCGGCCTCTTTAATACCTATTGTACAGTATGTGCGTGTGTGTGTGTCTGTGTGTGTGTGTGTGTGTGTGTGTGTGTGTGTGTCTGTGTGTGTGTGTGTGTGCATTACGGTGTGCTCACTCTTATTGTTGCAACTACTCGTTGTCTTTCTGTGTACAAACGTTTTTTCTATATTCATTCACAATTGTAAATGTAAATGTTCCTTCTCCACCCACTCAAGTGAGGTTATGGGTCAATAGATTATGGTAAAAAAAAATACATTTTAAATGTCACTTATAGTGGTAATGCTAGACACATGTGTCATCTTTGCAAGGAAAAATATTATGCATGCAAAACAGTAATCAGAAAATTCCCCCTTCAGTCTTTGCTGCTATCAAGTGCTTCAGATAATTTGTGAGGTTTTTAGAGGGCTTTTGGTTCAGTCTCACACACCAGCTGTCCAGTGTTCGGTTTGCATTTCATGACTGACAGAAAATCCAGTGCATTACCAGGAATGATCAATTCACAATAATGGCACAGAGAAATTAGGGCAATGGTTAAGCTCAAGGGACTGTCCCTATGAATCAACTTCTTTTTATTTACAATAATATAGTGAGCATGACTATTAATCAGCCTAAAACCAGCGGCACTTGACAGTGATCTGAAGATGACTTTTTACAACTCAATCATTCTAATAAACCATGACAGCCTGATACTTTACCATGACCCTGAAACAGGAGCTGCTAAATGCAATTCAGGCATCATTCATTGCATTATTCAGACCTGTGTTTTACTAAATGTTTTATATTTGTTCCTCTTCAGCAGAACATATTACATTTTTGTCAGCTAGGATTAGTGAAAACACCTGAAATGTGTCCGGGCCTTTAACAATACTGTTGGAGTTTTATGTAACTCTGCTTGTTATTTTTGGTTTGAATGTAGCTCAGGGCCACCAGGGTGAAAATATATCACATATATATATATATATATATATATATATATATATATATATATATATATATATATTTATCACAAGACATATTTCACATAGGGTTTCACAAATGATTTGTTGTTAATCATTATACATTGTACTTTGTGTTGTGTCTATATAGACAACCAAACAATAAATCCCACTTAAAAATGGGATATTTATCTTATTTGAGCGTTGGATGCTGTAACACGATTTATGTGGACTCATATAGTTAAAGACAGAACAGATATTTGAAAATAATCAATTGTATCATAGAAAACACTCTAGTGACTGAAATCTCCACCATCACAAGTTTTGATAAATAACATTTTCATCAAACTGTCTAAAGAACTTGAATTAATAGACAGTACGATGTGAAGACGATGATAAAGATCCCATCACTGCGTCTTTTGAGTGAAAACAACAACATGCTTGTTATGTCTGAATTGTTTTCTTGCTGATTGACCACCTCATATCAAGAAGAGAGTAAACAGTGTGTGTGTGTGTGTGTGTGTGTGTGTGTGTGTGTGTGTGTGTGTGTGTGTGTGTGTGTGTGTGTGTGTGTGTGAGAAGCTGTGCAGAGGATCTCTCATCTGTCCGTTTCCCTCGCTTGTCTGATTGCTCTCACTGAGAAGGACTGATGAGTGGGAAGGAATCAGAGCGGATATAACTCTCTGTTTTGCTTGTTGTCAGCAGTTAACAGTGTTTTACTGCGTGCCAGTGTGTTTGTGTGGTTTTGTGCATGTGTGTCTTCGTCGGCCGTATTGTCTAACATCAAACTTTAACTGAACGCCTATTGTTTTTGTGTGCAGCTGCATTTATGGTAGTTTGGGAAAGGCTTGTGCTTTAAAGATAGTGAGTTTAATTAAAGATGAAAGACCTTATCATTAATTGATAGAAGGTAGACTATTCCATGATGCTGAAGCATTGCGGTGTTTTCACTCTCATTCCTAAAGAAAGAAACAGAAAATGGCCCATTTCTTTTAAGTAAACGAGTACATAATGTATAAACGAGAAGTTATTTCTGTTATTTCAGTCCGTTCTAATTATACAATCTAAAACTATCAAAATGATATGGGTAATCCAGAGAAGTGAAGATGCTCACATTTGGATCAAAAGGAGCCACATTTAAATTCCATGAAAGTGTACATCTTTGTTGTGTTTTTCTAATGGCAGATTTGTGTAGAAAGAGTGAGACGGTCATGCTGTTATATATTTGTTGCCCCGGATCCCTCAGCTTGTCCTACTTTGCTCACTTTATCTCAAAGTAGCGCAGAGGCTTCGGAGACTCTCCTCTATGAAAAATGGAGCAGCACAAGCTTTTCTACATCACATTTTCTGTTACCAGGAGATTAGAAAGTGAAGGTGGAGCACTCAGGAAAAAACACATGCTCGGGGCATCTGCACCGGAGCTATAATCTTCACCAGAACCACATACTGTGACTCTCAGACGGGGCGGCAAATCGTTTTCTTTTACAGCGCACCGAGAGAAAAGACTTCACAAACTTAACAAAGTCAATGCAAGACTGGGACAACAGTTGTTAACTTATATTTATTCATTCTTTCAATATTTTTGATAGAACAGTACAAGCCTCATTCAATAAGATTGTAATATATATATATATATATATAATTAAATAAATAAACAGATGCTCCAGAGTAAAAGTATCCATCATACATTAATTGGAAGAGGAACACATAGATATGAGATAAACGTAAAAAATATATTGTAAAAATGGGAAGTAAAATACATAAATACTCAGTATATTCCTGTAGTCATATGGCTATGTCACTGCCTTTTAAGATCCCAAAAAAAGAAATACAACTCAGAGGGGCACAAAGCTAAAATAGCAGGGCCAGCAGTACACCGCGTGCTCTTAGGAGCACTTTTGTTTTCACTTTAAGTGGTGAAGCGAGGTTAAGGGTCACACATGCAAAAGGTTACATCAGGAGGTAGGAAGGGGGAGGCAGTGGGGGAGGACGGCAGCGTCCCAGGCAAGGAGCTCACAGCGTGGAGTCCCGGCACAGGACAATTTCCAGCTCAGTGCGGTACATTTTCCCCCCATCAGACAGAGCCATGATGCTCTTCTTGTACCCCAGCAGTCCTTCTGTGTCCAAGGGGTCCACGTCCTGCCACAGAGGACAAGGGCAAATAAAATCAGCAGGCACAAAGGCATCATTGGAGGGTACGAACATGCAGTGCTGTGTACAGGTATCTCAGGCAGCCGCTCCATCTCCGCTCTATATTTGGAGAGTAGAAAAGTAACCTGAACCGATCGATCAATGGGCTAACTATTCATTACCATTTTGTTCTTGTCACAGAGGTCCTTCAGCAAAGCATCCAGCTCCTGCTCATCAATATATCCGTTACCATCCTAGTGACACAGGCGAAACGAGAAGATACGTTATTCAGAAGAAATAACAGTATTTTAGTTAACATCCGTGGCACTTGAAGCATAATGCTATAATGCTTACCATTTACCATCGTAGCTTAGCATGTTAGCGTGATACTATTTTCTGATTAGCACAAAATGAATGCCTTTTGTTTTTCTGGATATGGTACTGGGAAGAATTATACTTTTCACTTAATGTTGATGCTAAATAAAAAATCCAAGTTACATTACAATGAATCCTGATGGTGACATGAACTTGTGCACCCACATTTCCCGGCAATCAAGTAATTTCTTCTTGTCATTTAAAAGGAATCATCTATTGGGCATGATGAATGTCACTCACCATATTGTTTTTGCACTAAAGTAGCTATCACGGTTTGATAACTGAACATTTTAAAAACAATTCTTACCAGAAGCGGTATTACGTGGAAAAATTATCAGCAAATTTAAATAATATTTATCCAATTTCATTGATAATATTGAAATGTTCAGTGTCTTCAGCGTTGAACTGTCCAGAAATAAACACAAATTCATATAATATAACAAAGATTCAGTACATACAACAAACACACAGAGAAACATGCTGTGGTCACCTTATCATAGAGGGTGAAGAGGGAGTCAAATTCCTTAACTGTGATACTGATCCCCTTTGTGAAAGAAAAGCAGAGGAAAAGGGGGAAATTGTTAGAAATCTAGGGCTATTTCTGGAGAGCGGTAAAGGCTCGAAGAGACCCACACCCGATAATAATCCATGCAGATTATGGTAACTGGGACTAAAGTTCTGTTAATCCTGATGAGAGGAATTGTTGATCTGCTTAAGCGAGCTAGCATGTACGTGTGTAACATGCATAACACAAATACACATTCAAGATGTTTATGTATGTAGATTAGTGTTGTAGTATATAGTATTCTCATTTCTAAGGGACAGTAAATGCACATTTGCGTTAATGCTTCATATGTCAATGGAAGACTAGGTGACAAATAATCCTCTTGTCATGAATCCAATAAAGTTTTATTGTTCCGAATCTCCAGTGATGTCACTATAACATTTCAACATCATAGTCACAGCATATCATACTACCTGGGACTTCATCTCGTAAAATCAATGTGAGAGTAACGTTACCTCAAACTTCAGCAGGAAATTTTCCTGCACCGGCAAGAGTCTGCAGTTAAACAAAAGGTAGGTTTAATATTGATGGCATCCTTTAGAAATGTACACACAGAGAAGACAGTGGGCGCTCACCTAGCCATCTCAGAGAGGCCCAATTTACCGTCACCATTCAGATCGAACATCCTCAGCTGCACACAGAGAAGGGGGCTTATCACAGAAAGCAAACAGGAGCTTTTAAAACTGGAGCGGTTGTACGTGTTTAAATGAAAGCAAGAGAGAGCGTTTAGAGTTTAAACCGGTGTGTCTCCACGTCAGGTGAGTTCGAGGTTCATCCCACACATTCTTGTTGCTCAGGATGGTGAAATTAAAGCCTTTAGCCCTTTATTGTGATCATATTAGGTAGAAATGTTGCAGCCAAGTGTAACATTTTAAGCACATGGGTGCAGACGTAATGTGATCCTGCATATATTAAGCAGAACAATGTAATTGTTAAACATGTTCATTCTCAAAATCTCAGAGAATGTATAAGTATAATTCAATAAATGAATACATGGTTCAAATGTATAAAGTGAATTATCTGAGTCAAACTGATATGTGTTTCAACTATTATGTTCCTATAACTACGGATGAGCAGAATGAAAAAGTCTTGCAGTCAAAATGTTGACTTTTCAGAAGTAGAAAAAAATAATCTGTGCCTGATAATACTCACGATTGTCTGTGTGTACTCATTGAGCTTCTTGTCATCGTAGTTTCTGTTAGCCTTCTTCAGCAGGTCTAACAGGAAACCCTGAAGAGGAGGAAAAGGAACCCATCCGTCGTAGTGTAGTAGTGATTACACAATATGATGCATTCACGGTTCACGGTTATGGTGACTGAGCGGTGTTGAAGTCACACAGCACAGAATTACACACATGTGCAGGTTCAGAGCGGCTCCATCAGCAGAGACATTAGCACCAATTACTGGCATTATCAATAACTGGTATTACCAATAACTGGCATTATCAATAACTGGCATTATCAATAACTGGTATTACCAATAACTGGCGTTACCAATAACTGGCATTATCAATAACTGGCATTACCAATAACTGGCGTTACCAATAACTGGCGTTACCAATAACTGGCGTTACCAATAACTGGCATTATCAATAACTGGCGTTACCAATAACTGGCGTTACCAATAACTGGCATTACCAATAACTGGCGTTACCAATAACTGGCGTTACCAATAACTGGCATTATCAATAACTGGCATTACCAATATATTGGTGGGTTTAGAAAATAATTTTCTAAACCCACCACTCTCAAACTAGGTTGGAGCGCTGCCAGTCCAGCTGTGCAGCCCAGCTGTGCAGCCCATACACTAAAACTGAGTCAACATTTCTTTCCTTCTTGGTGAGTTTGTCATTTTGTGTTTTACCTTCAGCTCATTTGACTCAATGTATCCACTTCGGTCAGTGTCGTACCTCCGCCAGGCCTGCAGAACAAGAGGGATGTCGTTAAATAGTCGCCGTGCCACTTCAACCACAACAACCACTAAGAAAAGCGCGCACACACTTTCTCTATATTACTTGATTTTACAGAAGAAGAAAAAAAACTGTAGAGAGAAATGGGTGTCATCTGACTTTGTGTAAATATAGAATTTAATCAAAGCCCTTATTAAAGATAGATACCTGAACCCCTCCAGCACTCACTGCCTTTCCCCTGCAGAAAGCTGCGCTCCATTCATAATGTATCGCAAGCTGAGAATAGCTTCAACACACAGAGTAGCCAGAACATCACACCGCCCCCCAACACACACACACACACACACAAACAAAGCCCAACCCAAGAGCACACCCAGCATGTGTGTGTAGGTGTGTGTGTGGTTAGTTACAATCACAGTGGAACATATGTTCGATGGTTTGCCGTTTCCCTCTAATGATTTCACAATATGCGACCAAAGTAGAAGTGTGAGCCAGATATGCGACTCTCTACTCGCCAGCAAGCCAATTGTGGCTGTTTAAAGGTCCGACTATGAATGGATTCATCAGAGAACTATTTCAGACTAGAGTTCATGACGCAAATTCAGCTAATTTAAGTAATTCGTGTTGAACAAAATATTAAATGCAGTACAATGTCCAGTAGGATTTCTAGCATCTTTTTAACTCCAGATACATCATCAAGGCCAGGAACTAACAATTTACACCATTACTGGAACTGCTTTTAGAAGAGACATGAAGGAAACAAGTAACAAATGGCGGAGCAGCTGAACATGTTTCCCAAAGGATGAGCTGAGACGGCGCTGCGACTTGAGGCTTTCAGTGGGGGCATTTCACAACTCAGTAAAGTCAATCAGTTGATCTGTGAGCAACGTTTCTCAAGCGAAACCGTAAAGCAAGAAGGCTAATAGTGTCCTTTTGGGCCGTCCATTATAAATAAATAGACTGATTCGAAAATATTGAAACTTACAGCCATAAACTCTGTGCTGGATCCCACAAACTCTCTGAAACAGAGCAGGAAGTTTTCCTCTGTGGGCAGAATTTGAGCCAACTACAAAGAGACAGAATTATTATTATTGCGGAGACTTGACTGAAGGTCAGCAGTGAATACACAGAAAGACAGAGAAACGCAAAACAGTCCAGTCAACCACGTTTTCAGGTTGTTCTCACCTCTGACATTTCAATTCTCCCATCAGAGTTCTTGTCAAAGTTGGCCATGAACTCCTTCATCTTTTCTTTGAACGTAGCATGCGTGGGGTCCTGCAATCACATCCAATCACGGACAAAAGACACTCGTGATAACGCATCCTTTAATCAAAACATGTACTTGTACCCAAGCCAGTCCTGTCCCAAAGACTTTGTGTTTATGTCACGCCTCAATTTTGCAACTTAAATTCCATCCATTTTTCTATGCAGATTGTAAGGAAATATGAATTGTGACTGACATCCCGTATTTAATTTAGTCGTATGATGGAAGGGTCACTCTGCGTTAATTTGCCTCACCTGGCCTGCTCCTCGTCTCGCAGTCTCCAGCTCTTTGAAGAAGTTCTCCAGCTCCTTCCCTTCGATGTAACCGTTTCCTGCGCGACACCAGAGGAACTAAATTAGTTTGGCACAAATCCTGTTGAGAAGCTTTTAAGTGGCCTGGAGCTTTGTTGACCGTTCAAAAGCTTGATTAAAGACTGTGGATGTGGATTTAAGATTAAAGGTCAATGATGGTCTTTGAATTTTGGAACAGTTGCCAAACCTCGAGCGCTAGTCCGATCTTAAGTCCTCTGTGATCGTATCCAAGTAATCAGTTTATAAGGGACGTACATTCTTACAGCTTCAATAAGGGTGAATATTTGGTAGGTTGAGCCTCATGTTCAAGCGGTCAATGTTCTCCTCGCAGTCACGTCTTCAGTGAAGCACGGAGAACTACAGAAACGTGCAAATAATATTCACACGTATTGTATCATCGTTACACAACTTAAAACTTTACATTTAAAACTCACTGATGCAAATAAGCTCCTGTCTATAGAATATTTACTTTTAGGACTCTTGTGTCATTTTGGCATTTCTGCATTGTGGAGATTCAGTGAAGTGCTGCAGCAGAAAAAAACAAAACAAGCCACGAGCGTCCATTACAGCTGGAGTGTAAGCACTATAATGAGTTTTCTTGCCTAAGAGGGTGAGAGGGTGCAGTGAGATGCTTATTGGGGCATTCTTTCCCCAGTGATTTCAACATCTTATGACAGTCATATGACTGCGGATGATTTTAACACAATAATTTACTCCACTGGTTTTCCGGCTAGTCAGAGGGGTTACATGTAGGACATTCAGAGTTATCTTTTTAATCATAAGAATGACTCCCATCTGTCCAGCCCCAGCAGGGTCGAAGGGGGATGTGCCTTTTTACTACAAGCGTTAATAAAACCCAGAAGTATGTACAGAATAAAATGCGCAGATTTACCCTGCCCCCATCTTCATCTGTTAATCTCTTATCCTTTCATGTCCGATCCTTTCTGATAATTTCCCCTTGTCCTCTGGTCTCCTTGCCTTTGATAGGTGCTCCATGCCACCATCTGTGCTTTGGCTGAGCTGCTGTTTTAGATAAAGACGAATGGCTGCATGCGGGACGCAAAGCTTTGGGTGCAAAGACAAAAGCAGGCCGACCGGATACAGGTGACATTCATCTTCAGTTCAGTTTCACTTTGTTGGCATTCTTCACACTTAAAATTCACTTAAAATAATCACTTAAAATGCTTATCTTTTCTCAACGGGACTTTCCATTGAGATGTTATATTATGGCTGGATTTCTTCTTGTTAGTGAAACAATATAATTCTGTCCAATAAAATGATCAAATGACTGTGAGCGTTAAGGTGTAGAGGAGATGAATGTCAGTCAATGCGTAGACATCAAAATGTTTCACTCAGGACCACAAATCCTCATGGTGCATTGAGGAATTGTTAGGGACTCACCAAAGTCAGAAGGATTCATCACTTGGGGATCGTGGACAGTTGTGTGTGTACGTTTTAGCCGGGACCAAAATGGCAGAATGACCATCTAACACTCCCATCCAGAGGGCCACTCTGGTCACTATTTATCTACTATTTAGACACTAATTATTAATTACAATACCACATCACTACAAATATTGTCTTGACAAATTTCTGTGCAACATAAAATGTGTTCACCTCGTGCCTAGTAGCTCAGCAGCACTCAGTGTCACCTAAAGCAGTGATAATTTCACTGAGTGCTTCATCCGTCCTGCCTGACTGGCAGAGCGGAGTTTAGGCAGATCAAGTGAGACAAAATGCATGCAAGGAGGCGAGTGTACACACACTATTGTGCATGACAGGGTTATGGGTAGCACTAAAGGTCTAACCCTGTTATGTTCATATTTGTCCCTGGATGTGGAAATAAATATTCCTCTGTTTCACCCAAAGTGTACTTGAATCTTGTTAACCACTGTGGACTAAACGATAATAAAGTGCTTATCTGAATAAATATGATATGGTAATTCAATACAGAACAGAGCATTTATGATGAAGTATGCGTGCGTTAAAATCCCATCACAAAACTCACAGCGTTCTCAGTTCAGTGGAGCTCACTGCCAGAGTTCTAGTTGCAACACAAAACTCAGCCGCCTCATGGAGCGCACCACTGCACACTGCATGCTGAGCAGATGCAGCCCTCCACTTCCAGAGCCATTTTGAAACACAGCTCAACTGGCGATTGCTCAGCGGCACCTCAAAAACAACCCGGCTGCCTAACTCGTGGTGACTGGAAACTTCAAAAAAACACTTTCTGTCACTTATGTAATTCGCTCGATGAACCTAGCGGGGATTTATGATCCTGGACTTCTTCAGTTGGGCTTCCGGTAGACAATCAATAATGAATAGTTATTGGTCAGAGAACTTCTGGATTAATTAACTTATCCAATTTATACTCTGCTACACATCTTATTTTTTACATTGCATAGCACGGCTCAACTGCAAATGTTAATAAATGTGTCGTGTTGTGTTTGTAGTTGCAAAGCATGATTACGGTCAAAACAATCCAACAGTGACAGTTTGTATGTCACTTCTGCGTGATACTACTGTGTTGTCAGGCTAAACTGCTGCAGCTTTGGAAACGATTTAACAGTAGAGGTCAGAGTTCTTTCTGAATGGGTACAGAAGTTAATCCTTCAATTGATTTGCAACATGAAAGTCGATCAAGCTGGAGTGGCTCACAATTTTCAGCAGTTGGGCTACTTGGACATTTTCCAACCAATAAAATGGCTGCTGTCAAAAACTGTTATTATTCTATTGGATGTTAACGAATGTGCTTAAAACTATTGACTATTGATTGACTTGGATGCAATTCATTATCTGTGTTTCCCAGCACTGCTGGTGGATTTTGTTTGACAAGAAACAAAAAAAAGGAACATAATTATGTTCAATGCGCTACAACATGAACATTGATCTCCTGGATGAAGGTTGGGGGCATTTTTCCCTGAGCATCTAATAATGATGCAAATGGATTTAGAGGGCGTTTACCTGAAAGCAAGGAATGCCTTGTGCATCCGTATCAGTGCAGGTGGGGGTGGGGGGTGACAAAGGGTTTGCATTGGATGCACTGGGAATGAAAACGGACTGGAAACCAAAATGTCTTTGGAAAAAGTCTCAATTGCTAAATAGTTTATCATCAACGGATTGAAAAACTAATTATTTTGGGCCTAACTGTTATAGATTTGATGACTGCTCCATCCAGGCTTGTAGTATTTTAAAGCGGTATATCACACACACACACACACACACACACACACACACACACACACACACACACACACACACAGTAAGCTTCATCCTCCCTTTCCCTTCCCCCCCTCCCCCCCTTTCCTTCTGTCTTGTCCTCCCTCATTTGCATCCTTTCATCCCTTTATCATCTTTTTCACTGCTCATTCTTCTTTCCTTCCCTCATCTCCCCCACTTCTTCCTCTAATTATAATTGAACTCTAACGGAGTCTTATTTAATTTCTCTCCTCACATTCTAAAAAAACACCACCAATGACACCTGGATCACAGAAAATGCGACAACTCACAATATAAACGACATTTCAGGATGTGATACCATCGTCCAGAAGAGCGTTCAACGTACATTGCTGTGCACCTTAATGCAGCACAACAAATATTTCTTTTAATCAAGTACATTTGAAAGCCTAAATAATAGTTGCATAGTTGATATTCATATTTCATAAAGCTGGGGCGGATTGCCTCGTTAATTACTTTAGTAATATGCAGGAACATGTTCATTCCGACGATGTTTTAACAAGCTGTTTATCTCAAGAATTACTAAACAAAATGATTAAAAATACCCAGAAGTTATTTATTTATCTCCCAGTAGACCCTAATTGATCACTCGATGGATGCCCCCCCAGCCGTCGGACTGGCGGGCACCTATGGGCGCACTCACCGTCGGCGTCAAAATGTTTCCAGATGTCGATGAACTGCGCTGCGGTGATCTCAGCCAGATGCAGGTGGGGCGACTGCTGTGTTTGAGTTGCCATCTTTGCTGTTTGATTGCCCTCCTCTTCGCTCAACTGCAATAGTTCGAGGTAAACTTTTCCGGCGTGCAGCTCCTCGCTACTGTGGGCAGCTCCTCCTCGGCCGGGGCTTTTAAACTCCCCGCGGCTTCCCGCACCTCCGCTGCCCGCCACCAGGGGGCGCGTTCACCCTGAACGGAGCCTGCAGGCAGGAGACCAATTACAGGAGATGGAGGAGGGGGAAAGCTCTCTTGGGCTTTGCATATGAGTTGCCATTAACTGCTGTCCAGGCTGCTGGTTTGATAGCAGCACTATTATACATCATCCAATCCCGCTGCTCCCATGAGGAGAGAATTACATCAAACAATTTATCCTATACCGAGGCACCGGGCCGGCTGCAGTGGATCTTGAAGGATCTGTGTAATCCCTGTCGCTTCCAAAACGATCTCTCCCTGCTCTGCCGTCTTCCAAATAAAGCCTGAATAGATTAAATATCACGCCAAAGGGCTCACGACACTTCTAGTGAACTAACAATTAAAACAGAAAGGGACGTGCATCACATGCTCCAGTGGGACACTGTCTTCTTCCCACCGAGTTTATTTTACCGATTAGATGTCACAAATGATACCACACCCACCCATGATTCTCCACTTTTACTCTCATCTCCTCCCTCCCTCAACCTTTCACACCCTCCATCATTCCACCCGGCCCGCGGAGGTCAGAGGGGTACTCAGTCTCCTCGGCCAATCGAACCAATTTTTGGCGTATATATCCAAGCAGCAGCAGCAGCAGCAGTTACTAAATCACCAACACGCCTCGCGTTCCTATATTTCTCTCATCTTTTCCTCCTATGTGTTGGTGCATCTCTCTTCTCAAGTTTGGTCCTCTCAAGCTGGTGTGAAGGATGGGAGCTGTGGTGGGGGAAGGGTGTTCAGACTTAGAGGATGCAGAAGAAAAAGAAGACTCTTTATCTCCTCCCTGCAGAGCTGTGTGCTGCTGATCAGAGAGAAATGGGAGAAGACGCACACAAAGAGTTAGCGAGAGTAGATCATATGGGTGTGACGGATAAGTGCATATGTACCGTATGTGTATTTGGAAAAGACAAAGAGGGGAGGCGGTATTTATAGAAAGGGTGGCGTAAAGCCTTAACCGCATGAATAGGAATTAGATCAAATGTATTTTGGGAAGGCTGTCTTTTGAAAGTGTTGGAGGTGTTGACTACAACGATGGATAAGGGACAAAGATGTTAAATGACCTCTGATCGCCTTTAAAATGGGAAAAAGGTCATGAGCATGCACGCTCATGTGCTCAGGTACATTATGTGAAATACAGACGTTCAATTTGAATCATAAACATGCAGCCAATGTGGTTTTGCCTCTGCATGCTAGTTGGAGTGCATTTCATGGATTGCAGATAATTATAATTATGCAGTCCTGTAAATTCTATATTAAATGTTTTACATGCAATTTTGATTATTTAAAACTTGCTTAATGTTGGTGGGAAACTCATGAAGGAAAAAGTAGGTTGAGGAAATGTTGCAAGCAGAAGGTGTTTACCGTAAGAGGCTTTTCAGTGGACTTTAATTACGTTTTCTGAAACAAAGTTGCGTCGGTGGGGTCTTGCCAATTTACTGAATGCAGGACCAGGTGTATAAATACGTTTTGTGTTCATGCATGAATTAAACTACTTATTTTAAAGAGAATAAAAAGATACGCCATAGTCAGAGTGCAGACTTGTTATTGTGACAAATTAACCTGAATGAAGACACGTTCTTAAATTAGGACTGATCCCTGCAGGTTTTGACTGTAGGTCAATGGTTTCTCTAATGGATGATTATTACCTCAAGTGTCGGCTGCTTTTTCAACAAATCTGTCCAGCTTCAATCAATGAAAGCCATTTCTATCTACGCCTTACATTTAGTAACCAAACGTATACAATCAAAGCTTGAAATACATTGTTTTGAAAAAGGAGATTGTGCTTCAACAATGGGATGCACGGTGGCGTCCTAAACCCAAAGTTAAATCGACATATTACAAGAAAAGTAAATGTTCATCCCAGATTTCAAATATAAGGAAGATAAAAATGAATTTCACGTATATATTTGTCTCCTAACACAATATAAATATGCCTTCTCATTTAGGCATGAAGGCTTCATCAGAGGGTTGTGAGTTTAAATTGTTTTTTATTCACAGGGAACTGGTTTAATATTAAAGTTAAAATATAGAGATATAGAGATATACATTCTGACATTTATTTGGTAATAGCTGTATAAATCGATGTTTTGAGAGGATGTTGAGAGGAAAATGGGCAAAATATTGCAAAAAGTTTCATTTGGTTTGTTTTTCAGTGTTAGATTCCTATGATATCCATTTTAAAAACGTTAAGGCCAAAACACATCATTAAACATTGGCATTGTCTAAATAATACAGAGGCAGCTGTACAACAGCCTCCCCTGCATGAATGTCACTTCATGCTCACCTCCTTTTACCCTCAGCGAGAGAAAGTCAGTCGCTGATGAACAAGGGCATCGTAGGAAACACTCAGGAGATGATATACTGATGCATTATGTGATCATGTACCATATGTGTGTGAGTGTGTGTGTGTGTGTGTGTGTGTGTGTGTGTGTGTGTGTGTGTGGCAGCTGTCCGTTAAGGCCCTCACAAATGTTTGCGTGTCTTGGGTTACTTCGAGCATGTCAACATAGTTAAATCTCTCTGCGCATCATTCTGATCCCAGATACATACAGCGCAAACCCCAAAGACACACCTCAAAAGCTGTTAAAACATAAAATAAAGGGTTTGCAGAGAAGAGAGGAAAACGTGCTGCCTCTTATTCATTCATTTATTCATGAAAATATTGAATTTGTGAGTTGTTGATTCTGTTATGAGACAAATGACACCGTTGTGATTCCAAAAACCTCAATGAGTCTGGTTCTCACGTCCATGGGACAGGGACAGAGACAACCAGGAAGACTGAGAGGGATCAGGGCGATTCAGTGCGACTGGAGCTGAATTGGCAAAGAGGAATCCGCCATAACCACCATGTTGTTTTCCTTCAAACACATTGTTGTGTGAGTTCATTCCACTATGAATAATACTGACCCAGATCCAATGAGGGAGAAGCAGACTGAAATGTTTCAGTTCTGCACAGTTCGTTATCACGTTAGATTCAGACTGCAAATACTTGACCAGTGTTTACTTAAACAAGTAAAGAGAATCCTCAGTGATCCATCCCACCCCTCGTCCCCTCTGTGTGAGCTGCTACCGCTACTGTGAGAATCCAGCATGCACGTAAACTGCGGGCTAATGGTTGGATTTCCATTACATTACATTACAGGTCATTTACAATATGTGCTCAACTCATATTAACTGACATCACATCACAGACAATTCAGCAGACCATCATTCTTCTGAATGGCCAAGAGGCCGACCAATCAGGCCTCAGGGACTCGTTATCATTAGTCCAAAAAACACGTGTTTTTTGACGATCCCCAAACCCCCACCTTCACTTCCTCAAAACTGCATAGTTACACCAAATGTGCATATTGTTCAGAGGAATGAATATCTCAGTGTGGGGTTATTTGTGTGGAAGTGTGCATGTAGATTAGATCAGTCTTTCTTGGTTTGACTGCCAGAGACATTTGCTTCAACATTCACATGGTTGAGCAGAAGTCAGAGTGGGAGTGAACGATTTGTGTAAATTAGAGTGACACGGTGCCTCATTGCAGTAATCGGCCATTTTCATCAGCGTCAGGATGTGGATTGAGTAGCTAGTGATAATCAGAGATAGAAACTATTGGAGTATTTAAGCCTGGAAACAGATAAAGCAGAGTGCAATTGTCAGTCTATTTGGCAGATTGTGCTGAGATTTCTTCCCTGCCGAACACCGGAACAGATAAAGACCTTATTCAAAAAGAAAAAACTGCATCATCATTTACTGCTCGCCATTCACACAGGCAACAAATCACATGTAGTGAAAGCAGCACAAAACACCATGAGTCTCGGGTCTCCAGCTCATGCAGATATTTTCACATGATAAAATTATATTTTTTTCCCCGAGCTGTTTGGAGGAGAACGGCATCTCTCTGTGTGCAGGCAGGATGAAGTGCTCCCCTTCCCTTCTGTGGGGAACAATTAAAACACTGGTCCTCCCAAGAGCACATTTCTAAACTGAGAAAAACAAACTCCCCCAATAACAATGTCCCCCGAGCAAAGGGGTTATTATTTGTTCTCATGATGCAACAGTGGTCAGTCACACTCTGAGAGGGTAAGTTCATGGATAAAAACAGGATGCATAGTCAGGTAACCACAATTTAAAGTCAGTCAGAAAACACACGTAGTGCTGGTGATGTTGAGAGTACACAAACATGTAAACACATGCCATTTTTTCCCTTTTTTACACAGAATATATATTATAGCAATTGTTCAAAACCTTGGGAAGTACACAAATTGGTAGATTTCTGGTGAGAAGTAGATGAAAGGATTGATATTTTTGTCAAAGAAGAAGCCACATTTAACAGACAGTTAGCTTAACTTAGCATAACCACTGAAATAAAGGGGAAAATCCTAGCATGCTGCCGTCCAATGATAACAAAATCCACCTCAATGCGCCTGTGAAGTTTACACAAAGTTCCAAAATGCATCAAATAATGTGGATGGTGGTTTCCAGGGTGTCAAAGAGCAAGTATTTGGCCTCACACGCAAACAAAAGAGGTAAAGGTTCACTATCCTCGGCCGGCCTGCAACAACTTCTCTTCATCATCAGCGTTTTTTGGAAGAAGAAAATCAAATCAGTGCAGACCAACGTGGATAACACACAGAGGGGGAAAGTAAAGGAGCTCAGCGCTGGGATGAATCACTGTGTGTTGACAGGCTTCCATAAACAAATGCACTGAAGCACAACAAGCACTCCTACAAGCTCATATGAAAGTCCAGTCCACATACTTGAGCAAACATATCCTCAGATGAGTGTGTGTGTGTGTGTGTGCGTGCACATATTGAATGCCAACAACACGTCCCTGAAGCCTGATTTGTGCCCTCTGCCCCCCCTCCTGTCCAAGCAATCCCTTTTATGGAGGGAAATCAATTCGGAGGTGAACAGAAGTCTATCAGTGTGCAAAGAGAAA